GTCCAATCTTTCTTCAGTACAATATATTTTACAGGTGCTGACCAACCAGATCAACGGAATTGTAATCTAACAGAAACAAGACATTAAAATCCAATACCTTAAAATTGATTTGATCCAATTAGTTAAAGCTTTTTAAGGAAATGTATCAGCCTTTGTCAATGACTTGGAGTGGCATTTTAGAAGAAATGCAATAAATGAAATGGGATCCTCACTCTCAAAGGCTGCGTTTACACAGGCAGCCCAATTCTGATCTTCTTTCTACTAATTGGTCTTTTGACCAATCACATCAGATCTTTTCACATCAGATCTTTTTGAAAGCTGATCTGATTGGTCAAAAGATCAATTACTGAAAAAAGAAAATCAGAATTGGGCTGCCTGTGTACACACAGTGATAGATATTGGCTTTAAAAACAAATTACATTAATTGGGAACAACAAGTCCATCCCATAAATAATGAGGCATCGGGGACATATGATAACAAATGACCACACGACTCACATGAATAGAGCTTTCAGAGCATTCACTCACACAGCCTGCTTAAATACTCTCAATAGCGCTTAAGCAGTTTCATCTTTGTTTACAGAAGGGGAGACCCAGCAGCATGGGAATCTTCAGAGGGCATTAATCAAAGAGGGATCAGTCAAAGTGTGACATAAGTTGTGAGGAAATATGCTCTCCACTTCCCCCATGTGAAAATGAATGGCAAATGTACACAAATGCCGATCTCAAAAAGCAATCAATGCTTTTGATTACAGCGGGAATATCCAGGGCTTATGCTACAGTGCTAGCTTTGAGTATTTATGACAGAATTAGGGTTGATTTAGCGCATACTCATTAGCTCAAGTCATAGAAAAGCCAATAGCTGAGCATTTAAGAGCAGTGAACTCCAGTAATCATTCATCTTGATAAGAATAATCAGCATTATCTCTGTGTAGACATACAGTGAGGGAAAAAAGTATTTGATCCCCTGCTGATTTTGTATGTTTTCCCACTGACAAAGAAATGATCAGTCTATAATTTTAATGGTAGGTTTATTTGAACAGTGAGAGACAGAACAACAACAAAAAAATCCAGAAAAAAGCATTTAAAAAATGTTATGAATTGATTTGCATTTTAATGAGGGAAATAAGTATTTGACCCCCTGTCAATCAGAAAGATTTCTGGCTCCCAGGTGTCTTTTATACAGGTAACGAGCTGAGATTAGGAGCACACTCTTAAAGGGAGTGCTTCTAATTTCAGTTTGTTACCTGTATAAAAGACACCTGTCCACAGAAGCAATCAATCAATCTGATTCCAAACTCTCCACCATGGCCAAGACCAAAGAGCTCTCCAAGGATGTCAGGGACAAGATTGTAGACCTACACAAGGCTGGAATGGGCTACAAGACCATCGCCAAGCAGCTTGGTGAGAAGGTGACAACAGTTGGTCAGATTATTCTCAAATGGAAGAAACACAAAAGAATTGTCAATCTCCCTCGGCCTGGGGCTCCATGCAGGATCTCACCTCGTGGAGTTGCAATGATCATGAGAACGGTGAGGAATCAGCCCAGAACTACACGGGAGGATCTTGTCAATGATCTCAAGGCAGCTGGGACCATAGTCACCAAGAAAACAATTGGTAACACACTACGCCGTGAAGGACTGAAATCCTGCAGCGCCCGCAAGGTCCCCCTGCTCAAGAAAGCACATATACATGCTCGTCTGAAGTTTGCCAATGAACATCTGAATGATTCAGAGGAGAACTGGGTGAAAGTGCTGTGGTCAGATGAGACCAAAATTGAGCTCTTTGGCATCAACTCAACTCGCCGTGTTTGGAGGAGGAGGAATGCTGCCTATGACCCCAAGAACACCATCCCCACCGTCAAACATGGAGGTGGAAACATTATGCTTTGAGGGTGTTTCTCTGCTAAGGGGACAGGACAACTTCACCGCATCAAAGGGACGATGGACGGGGCCATGTACCGTCAAATCTTGGGTGAGAACCTCCTTCCCTCAGCCAGAGCATTGAAAATGGGTCGTGGATGGGCATTCCAGCATAACAATGACCCAAAACACATGGCCAAGGCAACAAAGGAGTGGCTCAAGAAGTAGCCCATTAAGGTCCCGGAGTGGTCTAGCCAGTCTCCAGACCGTAATCCCATAGAAAATCTGTGGAGGGAGTTGAAGGCTCGAGTTGCCAAACGTCAGCCTCGAAACACTACCCCCCCCCCATATTGTAAAGTGTATAAAATGTAGAAGATCTGCAAAGAGGAGTGGGACAAAATCCCTCCTGAGATGTGTGCAAACCTGGTGGCCAACTACAAGAAACGTCTGACCTCTGTGATTGCCAACAAGGTTTTTGCCACCAAGTACTAAGTCATGTTTTGCAGAGGGGTCAAATACTTATTTCCCTCATTAAAATGCAAATCAATTTATAACATTTTTGACATGTGTTTTTCTGGATTTTTTTGTTGTTATTCTGTCTCTCACTGTTCAAATAAACCATTAAAATTATAGACTGATCATGTCTTTGTCAGTGGGCAAACATACAAAATCAGCAGAGGAATATCTGTAATATCACTTCAAGGCTGCAACAGGATACTCAGTAGATTAAAGGAAGCAAATCCCCATGTACAGCTTCCCATAAGAATGTAACCACTTTATATAGAGAATAAGTGGCCCAATAAAGAGTTAATGAAGTCCCTCAGGGAGACTGCTGTGGCCATATGTATTTCCCAACTATTAGGGAATAAGTTAGGTAGTTTAAATAGCACACTACAGCTCACTACCACTTCCACACTCCATTCCCCAAGGGGGCAGCAGCAACCTTGTCCAGGTGCTGAGCCTGGTTGATAAGCACATCAGGTGCTGCCAATTAGGTGGTCGTCAAAGTCATTATTTCCCAAGTGACAGCAGTGTTGTGGTCCCCCTGTGCATGAGAATTTGCATTTAGTACCTGGGCACAGCATTATTGTATCACAGAAATAGTGTGCAGCCATCCACTTTGAATCACCCAAGCAGTGATCTGTCTCAACTCCCTTATAGCAACTGTTAAACCATCCTCAATTATGAATGACCTCTAAATAATGCAGCGTTGTTGATCTCCTGTAAGCAATCTGCGGGCTTTGTACTTTGTACTGTTGCCGTGAAGACCGAATAAATATGATAATATCTTATAATAAGAGATGAAGCAAAACGGCCTGATGAACAAATAAAGGAAGGAGAAGAAAAGGAAGGAGAAGAAGGAAGAAGAAGAGAAGAAAAAAGAAGAAGAAAGAAAGCAAAGAAGAAAAGAAATAAAGAAGAAACTAAGAAAGAAGAAAGAAAAGAGAGAGAGAGAGAAAGAAGAAAGAAGAAAGAAAGAAAGAAAGAAAGAAAGAAAGAAAGAAAGAGAGAAAGGTGGAAGGAGTGGGAGTAATCCACCAGGGCATTCTTTCAAAGATATTTGTAAAACTCTTAGTGTTCTCTGACTGAGATGTATCAGAGAGGAATTCCTTCAGCTTGGATGAAAGGTAAATACCCCTTGAAGGTTGTGCCATGCTGATTTCAGATAGTTGACAAGCCATTAACCACTCAGGCTTACATGGGCAAAACAAATATCTGTATTACATTGATTATGTTTAGGGTTAGAGGCTAAATGGCATAGTCCAACACCCCTGGTAATAATTCAGCCTTATCTAAGCGATACCTACTAGGTAATGCGAAATAGTAAATGCTAACGTCAACCAACACTTAGCATAGGGGATCTTACCCCATCTAACAGACAACATTGATGATAACTGGGTTAAAATAAGAAACGGACAACAGAGAAACTAAGAGCTGAAGAATACACACAACAACCTCAACACCAAAACATACACAGGAATGAAAAACAACACAACCTGAAAACAAGGAACCCATAATTACCCACAATCCTATGGCACGCTACAATATGCATTATGTTGAGTATACATAATAATGATGGTCATAATTCATTTGATTTTGACTAATTATTTGTATTTGATTGATGGATTACAGAGCTATAAAGCTCAATCAATGTTGTTGGCCAATGAGACACAGTTTAAGACGTTCTTCATTTAAGATGCATCTTTATGTCCAAACGAGTCTATTTACAGTGAATGATGAGATAATCGATTATTTTTCTAAAATGTAGAAATATAGATCAATTCCATTTCAATTCCAGTAAATTCAGGGAGTACATTGAAATTCCAATTCCAATTATCTTCAATGCTTTTCAATGAGGAACATTTGGAATTGGAATTTAGTTTACTTTATGAATTGACCCCAACCCTGATCAGTGTAGATATTCAGTACACCCACATTTGCATACCTTTGTACTGGATGTGTGTAGGTATTTTATACTTCATATGAATGTGCCAATAAGCATCCATCTTGGCGTCACTCAAGGTTTCACTCTTCATTTTTCAACCGATTAATTAAACAGTGTCCGAAATAACCCTGGGTTCTCCTCTTTTGAATTCCTCCCAAAATGGCTGAGCATTAAGGTAATTGCAGACTATAATAGGTGCTGGATGGGGCAATCCTTTCTGAAAATGTGCATTAAAACAATGCATTATCGTACACTACATTACCGGTGGCGGGTTGTCTGTGTAGGACTCATAACCCTTGCATACATCAATGAGTCCTAAATTCAGACGAGTGAGTATGAAAACTTTGCATTAATAGCAACCAGTAAATCTGTCAAATAGCCGGTTTAACTGTTATTATAATATAGCATGGTTGAGTAGTTCTACTGTTTATCACAATTATGAAAAATCCCTGCATTGCACTGACATGCAATGTTCTCGCCATTGATTTTCCATTAAAATAGCAACACATTGTGAAAACAATTATTTGTGCAATGCCATACTATCTGAAATATTTCCTTTTTTTGCAGTAGAACTAATCATTAAAACAGTCCTGCAAGGCGTACCATGACACTGCCTTATCAGCCCACAATTAAGCCCAGATGATGCTCATTCCCAGTCAAGGGAGTCATTGTCACAGTGCATAACGTATCTACAGGTATAGTAGTTGAGTATATATGGCAGGGGTCTCACCCTCACAGACTGGCTGGGTGCCACTCCAGGAGCCATTGTGGAGGCAGGTCCTCTCAGGTGAGCCACTCAGGGAAAAGCCGGCAACACAGGTGAACCTCAGCAGGCTCTTCAGCTGGAACTCCTCCCCTAGCCTGGAGCCGTGAGGTGGGATTCCAGGGTCACCGCACTCCCCGGGACTACCACCTCATGAGGGAGAGAGAAAATATCCAACACTCAAACAACCAGCCATCCCTCACCACAGCAGTCCCATAGGCAGCTCATATCAGTCACTCTAGCCTGTTTCCTGAGATGGAAATAGGCTTTTTTCCCTCCCTTTTAACTAAGATGAAAGGCTACCAAGGCTCTACCCAGAGTGCTTGCATCTTACATCTCTAGCTACCTCACATGAAAAACCCACAGAAATCCATTGCTTTTCTAGCTCGGTTTGACTTCCCTGAAACCTGTCGATCTGTGTTATTTATGTCCACCATTATAGCCTTCAGGTCACCCCTGCCTGGCAGAGTGGTAGGCCCCTGCTGATGGATATACCTGAGCAGTAGGGTGGTGACCCACTCCAGCGCCCGTCCTCCTGACAGTAGCGTGTGGTGTTCCCAATCAGCGCTCGGCCATGGCTGCAGGTGTAATGGACCACGCCGCCATTGGTGAACTTCCTGCCTGACATGACAGCTTGGGGCGGTGTGCCAGGATCACCACAGGAAATAGCTTGAGGCGAAATGGAGAGAAAAGTTGATAGAAATACTGAGGGAACTGGAGTCGATCATGGATATACTCCATTGTTCTTGTGCCTTCAGTGTTAGCTACTACCACTACTACTACATTTAATCTTATGCAGAGCAATTGCGGTTAAGTGCCTTGCTCAAGGGCACATCAACATACTTTTCACCTAGTCGGCTTGGGGATTTGAACCAGCAACCTTTTGATTACTGGCCCAATGCTCTTAACCACTAGGCTACCAGCCACCCCACTACCACTACCACTACCACTACCACTACCACTACCACTACCACTACCACTACCACTACCACTACCACTACCACTACCACTACCACTACCACTACTACCACTACCACTACCACTACACTACTACTACTACTACTACTACTACTACTACTACTACTACTACCCTCCTTTTATCACAAACATTAACACTACATATTGCCATTTTGCTTATATATTCTTTATTTTCCAACACTACCAATATAAATTCTTCACAAATCCCTTTCACCATCCCCATATTCTCCCCACTATAACGGTACATTTCCCACTTTCTATCATTCTCCAACAGTGACTAACCACATAATAATACGCCATTTAGCAGACGCTTTTATCCAAAGCGACTTACAGTCATGCGTGCATAAATTTTTTTGTGTATGGGTGGTCCCGGGGATCGAACCCACTACCTTGGCGTTACAAGCGCCGTGCTCTACCAGCTGAGCTACAGAGGACCACACATGACTTGGGACCCAGATTCCACCTCTACCACTTCTTGTACCCTGAGCAAGACAATCCTAGCATATTACTCACAAAGGCACTTAGGAAGTGATCTGTCCCAGAAGCCGTTTGACTGACAGGTGAGAAGCGATGAGCCGAGCAGATAGAAGGCCCTCTTGCAGTGATACATCACACTGGTTCTGTAGTTGAAGCTCTCGGGGAAGTGCTGCTGCGGGTGACGAATGGCATTCTCCACAAAGCCTGGATCGGAGCAGTTTACCACTGCAAGATAAAATCAACCGCATGCTTAATGTCCGACAGTGAAACCAAGAGTGAGAAGAGAAGGGAAATCAATGAGAAAGCTTGAATAGCAGGTTTACTGTTCAAGTTCTGAGTCATTTCAATCAACCCATCCATGCTTTTTAATATATACTTACACAGTGTGTAAGCTTCTCTCATGTTTCTACAGTCAATAGCATTTGACATAAAGTTGCTCTAATAACTGTGTAGCAATGTCATACATATGGGTTGATATGCAGTTTCAGTTTAGTTTAGATTCACTTGTCACAAAATGTAGACTCTTTATTTCCTCCTGTTTCTCCCTGCACGTAAAACCAGCAGGGCAGGAAGCCCCGGTAAAAATAACAAGTTGCACCTCTTGCCTCAGAGTTGGCTGAATTTTTTTTCCAGCAATTGCCCTTCAACAACAAAACATGCCTAAAGTTAAAGTCATGTCCAGGGGAAACAAAACAGATTTATTTCCCTCAGTGACAGCTGCCAATGCCCTGGCAGTCAATTAAGCCCAAGGGAAAAGAGGGAGGAAAAAACTCTCCAAAATTGATAATTGGCACCTGCTATTGGCATGTTCCTTTCCTATAATAGAAACCATTACTGGGGTAACCCTCTTGAAAAAAGACGATTGTTGAAAGGCAATTACTATAGGAACCCTGGGTGAAAGTGTGGAAGTGTAGAGTGGCTTACAAAATTAAATCGAACAGTCAGTAGCAGGGAGCACACTGACATACTGTAAGAACACAACTGACTGAGTGATGAAGTGACTGACCATTGCTGTGGCATTTGAAGGAGGATATTTCTTTTACAAATGCAACTTTTTGTTTACCTCATTGTACCTGACTTTTTCAGCATGCCGGACAATTATTTCCATACAAATCAATGTGATTATTGACTTTAACATTGGGTCTTTAGAGAATGTTTAATCTGATAGTGATACAGTGCCCTCCACTAATATTGGCACCCTTGGTAAATATGAGCAAAACGGGCTGTGAAGAAAAGTCTTTATTGTTTATCCTCTTGGTCTTTCATTCAAAATATTCACAAAAATCGAACCTTTAATTAAAGAAAAATAATAATAATATAAAAAAATATTATCATAAAAATAATTTTCTCAAATATATGTGTGCCACAATTATTGGCACCCCTTCATTCAATACTTTGCCAAGATACAGTTAAGGTCTGAAGTTTACATACACCTTAGCCAAATACATTTGAACAATTCTTGACATTTAATCCTAGTAAAAATTCCCTGTTTTAGGTCATTTAGGACCACCACTTTATTTAAAGAATGTGAAATGTCAGAATAATAGTAGAGAGAATGATTTATTTCAGCTTTTATTTCTTTCATCACATTCCCAGTGGGTCAGACGTTTACATACACTCAATTAGTATATGGTAGCATTGCCTTTAAATTGTTTAACTTGGGTTAAACGTTTCGGGTAGCCTTCCACAAGCTTCCCAAAATAAGTTGGGTGAATTTTGGCCCATACCATCTTGACAGAGCTGGTGTAACTGAGTCGGGTTTGTAGGCCTCCTTGCTCGCACACGCTTTTTCAGTTCTGCCCACACATTTTCTATAGGATTGAGGTCAGGGCTTTGTGATGGCCACTCCAATATCTTGACTTTGTTGTCCTTAAGCCATTTTGCCACAACTTTGGAAGTATGCTTGGGGTCATTGTCCATTTAGAAGACCCATTTGCGACCAAGCTTTAACTTCCTGACTGATGTCTTGAGATGTTGCTTCAATATATCCACATAATTTGCCTTCCTCATGATGCCATCTATTTTGTGAAGTGCACCAGTCCCTCCTGCAGCAAAGCACCCCCACAGCATGATTCTGCCACCCCTGTACTTCACGGTTGGGATGGTGTTCTTCGGCTTGCAAGCCACCCCCTTTTTCCTCCAAATATGACGAAGGTCATTATAGCCAAACAGTTCTATTTTTGTTTCATCAGACCAGAGGAGATTTCTCCAAAAAGTACAATCTTTGTCCCCATGTGCAGTTGCAAACCGTAGTCTGGCTTTGTTATGGCGGTTTTGGAGCAGTGGCTTCTTCCTTGCTGAGCGGCCTTTCAGGTTATGTCGATATAGGACTCATTTTACTGTGGATATAGATACTTTTGTACTTGTTTCCTCCAACATCTTCACAAGGTCCTTTGCTGTTGTTCTGGGATTGATTTGCACTTTTCGCACCAAAGTACATTCATCTCTAGGAGACAGAACGCGTCTCCTTCCTGAGCGGTATGACGGCTGTGTTTATACTTGCGCACTATTGTTTGTACAGATGAACATGGCATTTGGAAATTGCTCCCAAGGATGAACCAGACTTGTGGAGGTCTACAATGTTTTTTCTGAGGTCTTGGCTGATTTCTTTTGATTTTCCCATGATGTCAAGCAAAGAGGCACTGAGTTTGAAGGTAGGCCTTGAAATACATCCACAGGTACACCTCCAATTGACTCAAATGATGTCAATTAGCCTATCAGAAGCTTCTAAAGCCATGACATCATTTTCTGGAATTTTGCAAACTGTTTAAAGGCACAGTCAACTTAGTGTATGTAAACGTCTGACCCACTGGAATTGTGATACAGTGAATTGTAAGTGAAATAATCTGTCTGTAAACAATTGTTGGAAAAATGACTTGTGTCATGCACAAAGTAGATGTCCTAACCGACTTGCCAAAACTATAGTTTGTTAACAAGAAATTTGTGGAGTGGTTGAAAAACAAGTTTTAATGACTCCTACCTAAGTGTATGTAAACTTCCGACTTCAACAGTAACAGCTCTGAGTATTCTCCTATAATGCGTAATGAGGTTGGAGAACACATGGCAAGGGATCTGAGACCATTCCTCCATACAGAATCTCTTCAGATCCTTCAGATTCCGAGGTCCACGCTTGTGGACTCTCCTCTTCAGCTCATCCCACAGGTTTTCTATGGGGTTTAGGTCAGGAGACTGGGATGGCCATGGCAAAACCTTGATTCTGTGGTCAGTGAACCATTTTTGTGCTGAGTTTGAGGTGTGCTTTGGATCATTGTCCTGCTGGAAGATCCAACCACAGCCCATTTTAAGCTTCCTAGCAGAGGCAGTCAGGTTTTGATTTAATATCTGCTGGTACTTGATGGAGTCCATCATACCATGTATCCTAACAAGTTGTCCAGCCCCACAACATCAAAGATCCACCACCATACTTCACAGTAGGGATGAGGTACTTTTCTGCATGGCTATTTTTCTGTCCTGCCAAACCCACCTCTGGTGTTTGTTTCCAAAAAGCTATATTTTGGTCTCACCTGACCATAGAACCCGGTCCCATTGAAAGTTCCAGTAACGTTTGGCAAACTGTAGGCGCTTGAGTTTGTTGTTTGATGACAGCAAATGCTTTTTTATGGCAACCCTCCCAAACAACTTGTGGTTACGTAGGTGGCGTCTGATCGTAGTTTTGGAGACTTTCTGACTCCAAGACCCAACTAACATATGCAATTCTCCAGCTGTGATCCTTAGAGATGTTTTGGCCACTCGAAACATCCTCCTCACTGTGCGTGGGGTCAATATTGACACATGTCCTCTTCCAGGCCGATTGTTAACATCTCCAGTTGCTTTAAACTTCTTTATTATTGCCCTGATAGTGGAAATGGTCATGGCTTACCACTTAAGTGTTCCTAATCACTCAGGTGAACTTAAAAACGTAAAATATGAATGGGAATATACTTCAGTTAGATTTTACTCATAAGAATTTCTAGGGGTGCAAATAATTTTGGCAAACGTTTTGGAGAATGTTTTTTATTTCAATCATTTTACTTCAATTCAAGAATATTTTGAATGAAAGACCAAGAGGATAAACAGCAAAGACATTTTCTTCACAGCCCGTTTTGCTCATGTTTACCAAGGGTGCCAATATTAGTGGAGGGCACTGTATATATAATCTGAAAGTGAAAATTCATCCGAAGGTGATATTTACATAAATTGGGCAAATTCTGTCACTACCACTATGCTTGTTTTATTCTTCATTGATTCTAAAGAGGGGATAGAAACCTACTTTGTGTCAGAAAATATGCTGTAATGTAATATGGTTTGTTGCTTTACATTAGAATTTCAAATCACCTCGCTGGAACAGGAAATCACCTAAGACACAGTAGGTAAGATGAATGCACAGACATTGACATGCACAGACTAGTAATACAAAATAAAGTATGCACTTTACCCACAAATTAAATTGATATACAGTCGGTAGTATTTTCAAGCATTGTGGTGGCAGCATCATGTTATGGGTATGCCTGTCACTGGCAGGGACAGGGAATTTGTCAGGATCAAAATAAATATGAAAGGGGCAAAGCCCAGGTAAAAAGTTTGAGGAAAACCCGCCTCAGTCTTCTGAAAACCTAACCCTGGGATAGAATGTTATTTTTCAGCAGGACAATAAAAAAAGAAATGTATACCAAAGACACCAGAATGGCTTTCCAAGAGGTGTTGAGCGTTCCTGAAAGGTCCAGTTTTAGTCCTCACTTAAATTTGCTTGAAAATCAGAGACAAGGTTTCAATATTGCTGTTCATCAATGATTCCCAACCAAATTTACTGAGTTTGAGCAATTTTGACAAAAACAATGGATATACAGTATGTTGCCCTAAGCGGTGTAATGGCTGCCAAAGGTGTTTCCACCAAGTATTGACTCTGGGGTGTGAAGACATACGCAATCAAGACGTCTTAGTTTTTTTTTTTTGTATGAATTTTGAAAAATATTCTATAATTTTCTTTCACTTTGAACATGTGGAGTAGGTTGTGTAGATCACTATGGAAAAGAAATCTGATGTAATCCCTTTTTAGATTTAATTTTAAGGCAGCAAAATATGAAGTTTGTGCAAGGGGTGTTTAGACTTTCACTAGGCCCTGTATCTTGAATATTTCCTCAGTCCCTGAAAAGCTTTGGATGTATTTGTTACTGTGTCTTACCTCTACAGACTGGAAGAGGGTTGCTCCACTGTCCATTCATCCTGCACTGGGCTCTTGAGGCACCATGCAACAGATATCCTGTGCTGCAGGTGAAGTTTACCACATCGTTCAGGTTGAACTCGCTGCCGTTAGTTCGACCATTTGCTGGGTTTCCAGGGTGACCACAGGTAATGGCTATGAAAAAATTTGAGGTAGCCAAGGGAGAGCAAAAATAGTTTGACACAGATATTTAAGTCATGGTGATTCAAAGTAGGTGGTGGGCCGAACATCGTATCTGCTTTAGTTTTCGAGGTGATCGAACTCTGGTGAGGGAGGAGCTGGTTTTTACATACTGCGTATATATATTTATTTCCGTTTGTTGGCAATGTCAATTCATGCAAATGTTTTTTTAAATACTTACTTTTATGTTCGCTAGCTGAAGTACTAAACAATGAACCAATCAAAACTCATGTACTATCCAGGTACCGTCTCTGCTGATCACGTCTGCCAATCACGCTTTCCGTACTTAAGGTACATAAACACAGATGGTGACAGCTCGAGAGAGATCTCTATGGAGGTAAATCATTTACATAATGATTTGAGCGTGTAGAATAGATTTGTAGTTGTAAACACAATTTGCAAGTGTGTAACGGATGAGTTGTGAACTTGAAAGAATAATCTGTAGTTGTAAACACATTCTCAAACGTGTAACTGATGAGTTGGGAACATGGAAAAAAACACATTTGTAGTTGTAATCGCATTCACAAATTTGCAACTTAATATTTGCGAGCAATAATTGCATCTGTACACCTGCACATGTCAATTTTGCGCACTCAGACCTTTGGCAGTGCTTTAGCACCCTACCGTGACAAAAATATTAGTATACAGTGGGGAAAAAAGTATTTAGTCAGCCACCAATTGTGCAAGTTCTCCCACTTAAAAAGATGAGAGAGGCCTGTAATTTTCATCATAGGTACACGTCAACTATGACAGACAAATTGAGAAAAAAGAATCCAGAAAATCACATTGTAGGATTTGTAATGAATTTATTTGCAAATTATGGTGGAAAATAAGTATTTGGTCACCTACAAACAAGCAAGATTTCTGGCTCTCACAGACCTGTAACTTCTTCTTTAAGAGGCTCCTCTGTCCTCCACTCGTTACCTGTATTAATGGCACCTGTTTGAACTTGTTATCAGTATAAAAGACACCTGTCCACAACCTCAAACAGTCACAATCCAAACTCCACTATGGCCAAGACCAAAGAGCTGTCAAAGGACACCAGAAACAAAATTGTAGACCTGCACCAGGCTGGGAAGACTGAATCTGCAATAGGTAAGCAGCTTGGTTTGAAGAAATCAACTGTGGGAGCAATTATTAGGAAATGGAAGACATACAAGACCACTGATAATCTCCCTCGATCTGGGGCTCCACGCAAGATCTCACCCCGTGGGGTCAAAATGATCACAAGAACGGTGAGCAAAAATCCCAGAACCACACGGGGGGACCTAGTGAATGACCTGCAGAGAGCTGGGACCAAAGCAACAAAGCCTACCATCAGTAACACACTACGCCGCCAGGGACTCAAATCCTGCAGTGCCAGACGTGTCCCCCTGCTTAAGCCAGTACATGTCCAGGCCCGTCTGAAGTTTGCTAGAGTGCATTTGGATGATCCAGAAGAGGATTGGGAGAATGTCATATGGTCAGATGAAACCAAAATAGAACTTTTTGGTAAAAACTCAACTCATCGTGTTTGGAGGACAAAGAATGCTGAGTTGCATCCAAAGAACACCATACCTACTGTGAAGCATGGGGGTGGAAACATCATGCTTTGGGGCTGTTTTTCTGCAAAGGGACCAGGACGACTGATCCGTGTAAAGGAAAGAATGAATGGGGCCATGTATCGTGAGATTTTGAGTGAAAACCTCCTTCCATCAGCAAAGGCATTGAAGATGAAACGTGGCTGGGTCTTTCAGCATGACAATGATCCAAACACACTGCCCGGGCAACGAAGGAGTGGCTTCATAAGAAGCATTTCAAGGTCCTGGAGTAGCCAGTCTCCAGATCTCAACCCCATAGAAAATCTTTGGAGGGAGTTGAAAGTCCGTGTTGCCCAGCGACAGCCCCAAAACATCACTGCTCTAGAGGAGATCTGCATGGAGGAATGGGCCAAAATACGTGTGAAAACCTTGTGAAGACTTACAGAAAACGTTTGACCTGTGTCATTGCCAACAAAGGGTATATAACAAAGTATTGAGAAACTTTTGTTATTGACCAAATTTTTTCCACCATAATTTGCAAATAAATTCATTAAAAATCCTATAATGTGATTTTCTGGATTTTTTTTCTCATTTTGTCTGTCATAGTTGACGTGTACCTATGATGAAAATTACAGGCCTCTCTCATCTTTTTAAGTGGGAGAACTTGCACAATTGGTGGCTGACTAAATACTTTTTTTACCCACTGTACTATATACATTTTACAGACACAGTATATTTTACAATAGTTATCTTTTGTTTGTTTTTAGTCCCATCCTTCAGCTCCACTCAACCCCTCCCATCTATCTCTGAACACCATCCAGTTTTGATTTCTATTTCCCATATATTTTTCAACTGTGCTGTGATGTTTCACAAAAGTTCTGAACCTTTCTATTCTCATACTTTCTACAGATTGTAAATTAAAGAAACATTTTTGCTAAGAGTATTATTACATTATTGATCGATTGACTATGACTTATTAAATCACCCAGCAGTGCTATTTGCAGAGTTAGCTCCAGGTAAATGTTGCAATTCTTCAGCCATTCCTGAACCAGCGACCAAAAACAAGCTACATATGGACAGTACCAAAACAAATGATCTAATGATTCTGTCTCTTCGCAAAATAATCTGCAGAGCTGGGATGGTTGTATCCCCCATATATATATATATATATATATATATATATATATATATATATATATATATATATATATATATATATATATATATATATATATATAAAGTGCATTCGGAAAGTATTCAGACCCCTTGACTTTTTCCACATTTTGTTATGTTACAGCCTTATTCTAAAATTGATTAAATTCATTGTTTCCCTCATCAATCTACACACAATACCCCATAATGACAAAGTGAAACACAGGTTTTTAGAAATGTTTGCAAAAGCGACTCCTTGTTGCGGGCCAGGCATCTGCAGGCTGACTTCGGTCGTCAGTTGAACGGTTTCCTCCGACAAATTGGGTGCAGCTGGCTTCCGGGTTAAGCGAGTGGGTGTTAAGAAGCGCAGGCTTGGCGGGTCATGTTTCGGAGGACGCATGACTCGACCTTCACCTCTCCCGAGCCCGTTGGGGAGTTGCAGCAATGAGACAAGATCGTAATCACGAAATTGGGGAGAAAAAGGAATACAATGTACTATAAAAAAATAAAAAAAATAAAAAATATGACAAAGCACCTTTGGCCTCGATTACAGCCTCGAGTCTTCTTGGGTATGACGCTACAAGCTTGGCACACCTGTATTTGGGGAGTTTCTCACTTTATTTTCTGCAGATCACTGCTTAGCTATTTTCAGGTCTCTCCAGAGATGTTCAACCGGGTTCAAGTCCGGGCTCTGGCTGGGCCACTCAAGGACATTTAGAGACTTGTCCCAAAGCCACTCCAGCGTTGTCTTGGCTGTGTGCTTAGGGTCATTGTCCTGTTGGAAGGTGAAACCTTCGCACCCGTCTGAGGTCCTGAGCGCTCTGGAGCAGGTTTTCATCAAGGATCTCTCTGTAATTTGCTCCGTTCATCTTTCCCTTGATCCTGACTAGTCTCCCAGTCCCTGCCGCTGAAAAACACCCCCACAGCATGATGCTGCCACCACCATGCTTCACTGTAAGGATGGTGCCAGGTTTCCTCCAGACGTGACGCTTGGCATTCAGGCCAAAGAGTTTAATCTTGGTTTCATCAAACCAGATAATCTTGTTTCTCATGGTCAGAGTCCTTTAGGTGCCTTTTGGCAAACTCCAAGCGGGCTGTCAGGTGCCTTTTACTGTAGAGTGGCTTCCGTCTGGCCACTCTACCATAAAGGCCTGATTGGTGGAGTGCTGCAGAGATGGTTGTCCTTCTGGAAGGTTCTCCCATTTCCACAGACGAACTCTGGAGCTCTGTCAGAGTGACCATCGGGTTCTTGGTCACCTCCCTGACCAAGGCCCTTCCCCCCCGATTGCTCAGTTTAGCCGGGTCTTGGTGGTTCCAAACTTCTTCCATTTAAGAATGATGGAGGCCACTGCGTTCTTGGGGACATTCAATGCTGCAGAAATGTGTTGGTACCCTTCCCCAGATCCGTGCCTTGACACATTCCTGTCTCGGAGCTCTACGGACAATTCCTTAGACCTCATGGCTTGGTTTTTGCTCTGACATGCACTGTCAACTGTGGGACCTTATATAGACAGGTGTGTGCCTTTCCAAATCATGTCCAATCAATTGGATTTACCACAGGTGGACTCCAATCAAGTTGTAGAAACATCTCAAAGATGATCAATGGAAACAGGATGCACCTGAGCTCAATTTCGAGTCTCATAGCAAAGGGTCTGAATACTTATGTAAATAAGGTATTTCAGTTTTTTATGTTTAATAAATTAGCAAACATTTCTAAAAACCTCTTTTCACTTTGTCATTATGGGTTATTATGTGTAGCATGATGAGGAAAAATTTGCATTTAATCCATTTTAGAATAAGGCTGTAACATAACAAAATGTGGAAAAAGTCAAGGGGTCTAAAAACTTTCAGAATGCACTGTATATATAAATTCTAGTCTTACTTTATCAAATGCCTTTTCAAAGTCAGCTATGAATACTAGGCCTGGCGTGTGATTAACAGAGTTACTTCTTCAAATGATCAAGCCAATTTGTATTGCATGCTGCATCCCAATGGGCACAGACTGGTTGACTCAACGTTGTTTCCACGTCATTTCAATGAAATTACATTGAACCAACATGGAATACTGTAAACGTTGAATTGACGTCTGTGCCCAGTGGAATATTTCAAGTGCACTTGAAAACAGATATTTATCTTATTTCAGTCTTCATCACACACAGACAGCAGCTCGGGTTTTAGGTGAGGCTGTGTTTACATCTTAGATAGAAGCAGGCCATTGGCTGCCTTCATCACGAGGTGTATGTACGGGAGTTCTGATTAGTTCCAAGTTTAGCAGTTTGGCAAATTTTCCTGAGAATACTTTTTATGAGTAAGTGTGCAAGAACTGAAGGTGACAACAAATGTTATAGTCATCATAAGAATGTTTTATTGTCATCTAAAAAAAAATCAGCTCCTCCCTTGATGGGGATCGATCAACTTCACGTTTTTTAAGCTTCGGCCCACCACCTAAACGTGGAGAATTCCTGTAAATCTCTGATTGTTAAGGGAGAATCGATAGGGACAATAAAGAAAACCAAAGTTATTGCACTTACGAACACAAACAGGAGCATTTCCAGACCATCTGTGGTCCTGTTGACAGATCCGAACCGATGTTCCAATAAGGCGAAAGCCCAGGTTGCACTGATAGACAACAGTGTCACGATAACTGGAGCCATCTCCACTTATGTGACCATTGATGATTGGATCAGGGGAGTCACAGTGGCCAGCTAGAAGGGAGAATAAACCAAATAATTGTATAACTTTTTCAGTTAGATAAAACTTAAAATAGTTGATACATTAGTATGGATTGGCATGAAAAAGTACATTTGTGATGCAAACTTTCTTCTTATTCCCTAACACAAATCTTTTAAAATATTCTCAGGACTGTAAAACTATTTGGCACTTTGACATATAAAAAGATATAACACATAAAAATGTATTTTATCCTTTCTTCCCCCAATAATGAATGTATTTGTGGGGAGAACTGCCTCTATAATTTAATCTAATCAATAATCTAATTGATAATAATGAGGGGTGGTATATCTTCATTTTTAACTGACATTTTGGAGTTGACTGCTGGGTTCGGATTAAATCTCATGGATAGAAGGATCAACATAAAAAGTTTCCTACATAACATTTTGGACGCTGGTAATTGAAGAGAAATCATGACCTTCAAGAGTTTGAAACTGTAAACACAACTGTAACCTGAGGAATCTTAATGTGCTTTTGGCATAATGATGTGAAAACCATAAAGATGTGCAAGCCCATTTGGGGCTAATACAAGATCATAAAATTGGGGACTCGTCCAGGATGATACAATTTTGGGTCTCGTCCGGGATGAGAAAAGAAAGAAAACTTAAGCATTAGAAAACCATTTATACTGTACCAAGACACTTGGTTTCCACTCCGCTCCAGAGCCCATTAGTCCCACATTCCCTCACATGTGACCCAACCAGTGTGTAGCCCGTATTACACATGAAGATCGCTGTGGCGCCAAACGTAGTCAGGGTTCCTATCTTGTTGCCATAGGGAGGAGAGGGGAGGTCCCCACACGAGATAACTGGAAGTGACACAGACAATCAGAGACTGGGTTATACTTGGTTGCACGCCACTGTGCCTGAGTGGAAACAAATTCCACAATGAGGAATGATTAGTGGAGAATTTTGATCTAGTTACTAGATATCCCTGGATGAAAGGTATGCAGAGTATTGTGTATTTGTACTAGAACACTAAATGGGGAAGTGAAACGTGTCTTACAGCAGCTGATTGATTCAGCCCTAACAAATTACCTGTAAATGTTACAATAATTTGAATATGCAACTACCTTTTGTAAACACATATTGCTGGCCATTATGCCAACAGGCATTATACTGTATATTACCCTTATTTCTGTTTTGTCATATCGTTCTATTGTACGCAACAGTGTGCTTGTTTGTTTGTCTACCAGATTCAAGTGGAATGACTAAAGAGGGAAAACTTTTAAGGAACTATGCAGAGCAGTGCCCTGCGGATCACTGTGTGCATTCACCTTCTTTCAATTCACATACAGTCTGGTTCACCACATGAATAAAAAAGAGGCGCTAAACAGAGTATGTAATTGCATCGGCTATACATACAAATGAGTACTCATGCAGCATACTGTATGTCTTCCCCGTAAAAAAGGCACACATGGAATGATCAGAAATTATCAGGGGCTCCTAGATGCACCCAATCAAAGCCAAGGCCAATGTACCTTTGCATGTTCACTGTGGCATGTAAAACTATTAAATATGAAGTCCCCGCTAATCAGAATATTTACATTCTCCCTCTGACCTCTAATTAGCCAGAGTGTATTTTCCCTGATTACTTCATCACCACTACAGTATATTGTTTACGCAGCAAGTCTATGCAGAGGAAATAGGGAGAGCTGTGATCAAAACAAATGATTGGATACTGCCTTGTGACTTCCCAGCTCCCACACCAGATCCTGCCCACACCAGATCCTGGGGATTATGCATGCATCAGTCCAGAAATACACTGGGAGCCACAAAGAGGAAGGATTTCAGACGTATTAACTGCCAGTGTGAATAACAGCTCTGGCCAGACAATGAAATTGCTCTCAGTAATTAGAACAAGGTACTATTAATACTCAAAATGTCAACTATTTTGTGCTCCATCCTCATGAATGATAATTATTCCTATTATTTTTCCATAACTCTAAGCAGTGCAGCTTGGTGGTAGATGTATAGTCTGTATCTTACTCTTGCAGGTAGACCTCTCTTCGATTCCAGCCCAGGTACCATTAGCTAAGCACTTGATGGTCCTCCTGCCTCCCAGGTAGAAACCAGGAGTGCAGCTTAGCATTATCTGAGCTCCAAATTCATTCAGTGACCCCGAGATCAGCCGCCACACCATGTGTTCTGAGAGCATGCTCTCAATGTAAGGGCACTGGATTGCTGTGGGGGTGAGAGAACAGGCCAGATTTAATGGAACACACTCAAAAAGCCAGACATGACAGAGATACATTTCTCTATTTCCTTTCTTTTCTCTATATTTGGCAATTTAATATTCTAAAAGCCTTATGTGCATTATCAGTTTATGTCCAGTATAGAGAGTATTATATTCTATCTATTGTTAAAACTGAGAAATGCCAAAGCACTTTCTGATATAAAACTAGAAAGTATAATGAGTATAAAAGTATTTGTTATATATACTATATTCACATACATCACATTCATTGAGGTATTAAAATGTAATTTATACAGTCATGTCCCAAAATGACTCCAACATGATTGCTTAGTGTGTTTCTGGTAAAGCAGGCCTCTAGGGGCGGGTTGCATCCTACCATTAGTTTTTTGTGAGTGCTTAACCGCAACAATCTAGTCATTATTGCTCTCATCTCACCCGCTACCTGCTCCACATTACTCTCTAAGGAGGACATTAATGAGACCTGCATTGACTGCATTGGCTCAATGAGGCAGGGGAATTTATTATTATAATAATAATAATAATAATAATAATATGCCATTTAGCAGACGCTTTTATCCAAAGCGACTTACAGTCATGCGTGCATACATTTTTTGTTTATGGGTGGTCCCGGGGATCGAACCCACTACCTTGGCGTTACAAGCGCCGTGCTCTACCAGCTGAGCTACAGAGGACCATCATACTGTTGGCATAGAAACAAAGGTTATTTTTCTCACGTAAACAAAGAGGTGGGTGTGCAGCGTTGCTCCATGTCCCATCCTCCAGACAGACGGCGCTCGTTGGGAGACTTGTCTCCATCCTGTACCCTTCATTGCACTGGTAGTTCACTTTGCTTCCCACTGTGTACTGGAAACCATGGAATGAACCATTGGCAGGAGACTCAGGGATTCCACAAGATATAGCTGCCGATGAAAAGATATTAAAATATTAATATGATACACTCATCAAACGATGACCTCAGCTGCATGGATTACTCTAAGCACTTACAGAAATGATGGCACATAATTAGTGGACACTATGGCCACTTCTAATAAAAGGGTATAACGTGAAGTGTTCTGACTTCAGTGGCATTATATCTCAAAGGGGATAAAGAGGAAGTAAGCAAAGTGTGTATGTTCCAACTATTAGGGTACTATGGAAACCAGATATTTCCCTTGAAGATTGTGGCATTAATTTGCTTAAACAAACATTTACCATTCAAATACCATGTTTAGAATACTGTGGAACAATCAATCTTATCTAATAGAATTATAATTTACAATCAGGTTTAGTGAGAATAACAAACAGCTCCATTGTTTTGTACGCTAGTTACCCACCTGTAGTTTACCACAAATGTGGGGACACAGTACATTTAAAGAGATAATTGCCTTGCATGCTCGTAAACAGGCATGTACAGATACAACCCCCAGAAGTAATTAGCTCCACCTTATCCTCTATTCCTTTATGCAAATATACATATCCTTTGCTTAGAGCAACGGGCTGTCACACTAATTAACATAATATAAAAAAGGGCCTTTTACATAACTGTCAATGATATACTTCTGAACAAAGTTTGTTAAAAGACTCATTATATATATTATTATGACATTAGGAAATATTAATGAATTGTAGCCTGCTATGTTGAAGAGCAAAGAGAAAAAAGAAAGAAAGAAAGACAATGAATCACAATTCCTCCAGATTTGTGCAGACACAAACACATTGTGACAAGAGGGAGCCTCCAGACATAAGATTATAGTGAATCCCCCTCGAGTCAGTAAATGTCATTCGCAGCTCTGCATTACCTTGACATAGTGGAGCTGGGGCATCCCAATGATACAGTCCATTCCGATGCAACCGGCAGGTGGAATTTCTGGGGCCCACGAGCCTGTAGCCAGCATAACAATAGTACTGAAGCTTGCTTCCTGGGTGCTCTCTTGTTCGATTAAACACCCCTCCATTTCCAGGTGGGTCATTAATGCTACAATAAGGAGCTAAATTGAAAAAAAAGAGCATGTTAAGTGTTTTCTATATCATTCCACCATCTAAATGATTAACGATATACGCTACATATACATTAGTACTTTATATTACATTAAATTTGTATAACATGACATTACATAAGTATTTTCCAGAATTCTCAAAATCCTCTGCCCTAAGTTAAAACCATCCATCAGATTAATCGTACTAAATGGTTGAGTCTAGGTTCTGGGTGATTAGACCACATGTTAAAACTCCAGGCAGCATATCATTCTAATTTACTTTGATGAATGCCCAATGGACTGTTAAAGACGAAGGGGGAAAAAATTCCTCTGGCTGGATAAAAACTTCTTTGCTCCCAAAGCAGTTTTGTAAAGATCAAGCAGAGGTGTATTACAGTCTCTGTGTTCAACATCCCTGCATTATTTAAAAAGCCTTTTACACAGTCTGACAGCACCATGTTAGCCATTCTGAAGCCTTCAGAAACCATCACTCATTCTGACACGTCAGGCCTCAATGCAATGTAACCATTTTTTACTCCGAATCATTAATTTCTTCTCCACAGCACAAGGGATGGCAAATTGAATAAATGGGGAAACGTGGAAACAAACTGGAATAATAACTAGCACAGGGGCTGGAGTGGCAAAAGGATCGACTAAAATGAATAGAGAGAAGAAAAGTGACAGAAAAGGCAGAGGGAGAGAAAAGAAGAGAAAAGAAATGGAGAGTAATCATTGCCACTGGGCTTTGTGAGCTATATATCATGTTTGGTCATTGGTTGAAATGTCTGTTTGAGGCACTGGACATGGCAGTTATTCAGCCAAATTCATTATGGGATCTTTGACCTCTATTATGGAGGACTTGCAAAAGGATCCCTGCAGGTATACATGTCTGGGCCCAGCCTAATGAGGGCTAACTTGGAAAAGTCTGACTTCCTCACACTCTTTGACCTAAATTGGGACCAAAGCAACTGCCTCAGAGGACAGACGCTGGTGTATAATCTTCTCTGACACCCATACCAGAGGAAAAGGCTATGGTGCTTTTCCCCCATTTTGAATGTACTTTAGTTCAAATGTTTCAGAATTCGTACAAATCAAATTGTATTTGTCACATGTGCCGAATACAACAGGTGTGGACTTAACCGTGAAATGCTTGCTTACAAGCCTTTTCCAACGATGCAGAGTAAAACAATTATAATAAAAATAAAAACTAACACAAGAATGGAGCTATTTACAGGGAGTACCATTACCAGATCACTGTGGAGCTATTTACAGGGAGTACCAGTACCAGATCAATGTGGAGCTATTTACAGGGAGTACCATTACCAGATCACTGTGGAGCTATTTACAGGGAGTACCATTACCAGATCACTGTGGAGCTATTTACAGGGAGTACCATTACCAGATCACTGTGGAGCTATTTACAGGGAGTACCAGTACCAGATCAATGTGGAGCTATTTACAGGGAGTACCATTACCAGATCACTGTGGAGCTATTTACAGGGAGTACCATTACCAGATCACTGTGGAGCTATTTACAGGGAGTACCATTACCAGATCAATGTGGAGCTATTTACAGGGAGTACCATTACCAGATCACTGTGGAGCTATTTACAGGGAGTACCATTACCAGATCACTGTGGAGCTATTTACAGGGAGTACCATTACCAGATCACTGTGGAGCTATTTACAGGGAGTTCCATTACCAGATCAATGTGCAGGGGTACGAGGGATCTGAGGTAGATATGTACATGAAATCAGGGTAAAGTGACTAGGCATCAGGATATATAATAATAAGAGTAAAATAAAGAACAGAGTAGCAGCAGCATATGATGAGTGTAAAAGTGTGTGTGTGTTTATGTGTGTTTGTGTTGTGTCGTATGCGTGTGTGTGTATGTGTGTTTGTATTGCCGGTATGCGTGTGTGTTGTGTGTGTGTGTGGGTGTGTAGTGTATGTGAATGTGTGTGGGTTTTGTGTGAGAGTGTCAGTGTAGTGTGTGTGTGTGAGCATGTGTATACAGTATATACTGTAGTCTTGTGAGTGTGCATAGAGTCAGTGCAAGATAGGGTCAGTGCAGATAGTCCGGGTAACCATTAATTAACTATTTAGCAGTCTTATGGCATGGGGGTAGAAGTAATCTCGAAACATAACAGTCTCCCCATTAAGAATTGTGATGCAAAGCTGTAGGCATCCCCAAAGCAAATGTGAAACATAATGTCTTATCGCAAAAGGAAACATATGGTTATGCACTACAAACCTGTGTAGCGGATTTTGAACCCTCTTTTGCTGGTTGCATGATCAGTGGACCATCTCAGGTAAAGGTGGTTGGTCTTGCTTGTAAAGTTTAACTGTGTGGAATGATTTCCACTAAGGGCCACCAGCAAAGGGCTCTGGCCAGATGGTCCTAACGGATAAAAAGAAACACTAAAAGATTACAGTGCTCGTCGTAGAGTATTTTTTAAAATGTTACGCATCGCTGACATCGCATAAGCATTTAAAAACTGCACAAAAAAGCCATCGTGTGTGACTTAGTTGGCTGTTGGAAAAGGAAACTACCATCAAAGATCTCAAGTTCGTCGAACTGCTTCTCACTCTGAAACATCTCCACGAAGATGGAGATAGTGTACGCAGGTTGAACTCTGATGACCCAGGAGCAGGTCTGAGAATTGGGGTAGTTTTTAGGGAAACCTGGACTAAGGATAACCCCGGATGAGGAGGCGCGTTCTTCATTTGCAGGACACTGGGCTAAAAGCACAACAAACACAAGCAGACAAGAATTACTCATGTGAAAAAGGTAATTGTTGCTACAGTACACATCTTTATCACCTCAACTGTAGTTCTTGTGAACCTCTTCAGGTTGCAAAACCAAATGGGCTCAGGGTTAGTGATCTACGACAATAAATAATGTGAAGGCATTTTCCATTTTCATATTCTACCCTGTGGGCAAATAAAACAAACCGAATGGACCATAGCTGCTTAGCTCCATTACGGAATTTCAACATTCAAGGAAACTCTGCTGTGCTTCTCCATATCTCCCCAAAAAGGCTTGGTAGTGCTTTGTACTGTGCTTTAATAGAGACATAGTGCTGCCTCCCATCTGTGTCAACGCGTTGGCACTATAATTAGAAATGATATGTATGAATAAGCCATTAAATCTGTGACTCACTTCTGTTAGAGCTCTGATTACAAAGAGACACAGAGGCACTAGCAGCACTGCACTACCATGACAAAAAAAGGTTGTTTGTTTTTTTTACCAGGGTGATACACACAACTTTGAATCAATGCCTAATAATACTGTAGTATAACGGAGTCATCATAACGATGCAAGGAAACAAGGATCTTGGCAAGTAAGCATTTCACTGTAAGGTCTACACCTGTTGTATTCGGGGAAAATGTGACAAATACAATTTGATTTGATTTGGATAGAATGTCAAAGGGCAGCAAACTGACATGCTTGTAAAAGCAGATAAAATAAATCATTTATTGGAACAATCTGAGCTGAAAGTTCACCTCCTGTTATAACTTTCCAAGGAAAAAAAAGATAAATAAAAATAATCAGAAAAGGCCGGTCAGAACATTCTCTTACCTTCACAAGTAGGCGGAGGACTCTCAAACTGGAGATGAGAGTTGAGCTTACAGGTAAGCTCACTGTTGCCTACCAGTGTAAATCCAGGGAAGCAGCGATACTTCACAATGTCTCCTGGACAAAATAATTATTTCATACATCTTATAGCAGATGTGACATTATCAACATCTGATGGAAACCTACATTGGATGTTAAGGTTATGTCTCTAGAGACAATACCAACAGCTATATTACATAACAGCCTGTGTTATAACCGGTGTTGTGTTCGAGACCACCTAAAGTGAGACTGATTCAAGACCGGAACAAATACCGAGACCGGGAGCGGTCGAAGGGTCCAAGACCAAGTCAAGACCGAGACCAGAAAAATGTGAGTCCAATTCAAGACCATGATTATAATTGTGTCAAATCATCACCATATTAAGAGGTCAAAATGTCCAGTATTTCTGTGTTCATATTTCAGAAGAACATATGGATTCTTTAGACATTCAGAATGGTGAGAAAATGCATGCTGAGGGCAAATAGAGAGCCACTCATAAATTACCACTAACCCGACGAGGTCTATAATAGATAAAAAGCCATGTTACAGCTTCCCCCGGACTCCCCTTACTAATGAAAAGTGTGCAACTTTCAAACAATGTCCCCCACTCTTCCATACCAGCGAATCAAGGAAATTCTGATGAGCGCGACAAAGTTTGAGAATATCTTTCAACGAAAGTAAAGGACAGTAGGTAACTAATGTTATAAGAAAAGTAGGAAGCCCAGGTTTCAATAGGCAATAAGATATTAATGTGTCATGAAGGAGTGTCGACATTTGGCCTGGCAAAGCGGTTTTATGGGCTGACTGAATGGGAGCTGATAATTATGAGTTTTTCACTCCGCTGGTCTCGATTGGTCTCAGCAAGAAATTAAGAGTTCTCATTGTCTGAGACCGAGCAAAAATGTATCTGGCACCGAGACAAGACCGAGACACTCAATATGTGTCTCGAGACTGGACTCGAGACCAAGACTGGTCTTGAATACTACAACACTGGTTATAACCCTAACATGGTTGTCCAAAAACTGCAGCATTAGTGACAATATGTATGTAACACATTTCAATTCAATTTCCCCTTCAAGCCTGAGCAAGAATGAGGTTCACACTCCACCATGGTACAGTATACCCTCTTTGATTCAAAGTCACATAGGAACATGTTTGAACTGAAACAAGTAGCGGATCACTGCCTGACATTCCACTGCAACTAATAAATGATGAATGTGTGGATAACCCTCTGTTTATCATCTCCCTGGTGCACACTAACCTATTTCATAATCTTGATCTTCATATACTATTTCAGCTTCTTCCACTGTCGGGGGAGGTGGGCATTTCTTCAGGCGATAGGCTGGAGGAGAGAAATAATAAGTATTTCGCCAAACTCTGTTTGCAAATGATGGCTACAACATGGAGAAATTATTCCTTAAATCACATAATTGTATCCATTTGAAAAACATCATTATCAAATATGTCACCCGCATTGATAGGTTATAAAACAAAATAAAGGGATATATAAATACAAACTGCTACACTAAAATTGACTACACTTACCCGAACTCATAGTAAAAACATGAGAATACTTTATTTCTGATATATTTTTAAACAGTGATTCAGCAAGCCTTAACAGCATTCATTGCATTTTAGCTACAACATTTTTGATTTGGAAGAGAAACTAACCATGGAAATTGAGGACAAAGAATCCACTTGTGGAGAAGTCACTGTGAAACTTGATAAGGACCTGATTGAAAGAACTGTAGGCTGACTCTAGCGCCGTATTACCACTGAAAATCCCAAGTTGTGGGTAGCTCTGCTCAGGGCCATCCCTGGAAGAGACCAGAAGACATTGAAAATGCATTACATTTATAACGCACATGTTAAAGAGTACAATAATGTCCAGCATTTCAGTGTGTCTTGGTTGAATTGATTTGTTCTCAAATCTATAGCAAGATTTGTGCTCACTTTCATATAAAAGCATTAAATTACAGACTGTGTTGAATGAAAAAGCTAAAAATGATGACTTTACAGACTCCTGGCCTCTTTTAATGGCTTCGAATATGAATAACTTATATAACTCACAGAGGTCTGTATTGTGACAGAAAGTGTGTATTTTCCCCATTGATATACAGTGTTTTAATCCACTCTTGAGTGACGCAAATTATTCTATTGTGACATTCAAGTGCATCTTCACTAGTAAAGGGAGTTAAGGCAACATGCACTGTACAGTAATATGATGATTTGTTTCCTGTCTTGCTGTATTCTTAGTATATCTTCCTATGCTGTGATGTAAATGGTAGTTCTTAATAGAAAATACATATCAGCCAATGATTAACCGATGGGCGTTGGGAGAATCATTAATCCCTTACCATACAGCAATGTAATCCGTGACAGGCTCCGTCTGAAGCAGGGTGAAGTTGATGTAAATGCCATGTCCATGTGGCACGATGATAAGCCAGGTGCAGTCCTGTGAGTTAGGGTACTCATTTGGGTATTCGGGCGAGAATATGGTGCCATTCTGAGCTGTCATGTTGTAGCCACATGGCGCTGCAGTAGAACGGAAAAGGGAGCAGTATCATCACAGAGGGTATGTGTAGCATGTAGTGGGAATTGATGTTAAGTGGATTGGTCTCGGTAGCTTTGCTTGGCTTTGTCTGCTAACAATTTAAGAGCATTACTTCACCAATTGAACCTTCATTTCAAATATTTGTCTGCAAATTCTGTATACTGTACTACTTGCAGATGAAATATGAGCAGCAATCATGATAGTTTTGACTGTGTTGACAACAGAGTAAACCTCACACTTTATTGCACTATCATGGTGTCTCTTCCTGTTTTCCGGGATTAGTCAATTCTGCACATTGAGCTTTGAAACTAAAAAGGGATGCGGCAATGACTTTAGATACTTCAACATGAACCGAACACACCAAATACACTGCAAAAACACAATACCCTGATGCTGAAAAGTGTGGTTGAATGAGGGACCCCAAGTGGGATTATATATATATTTTTTATATACTTAAATTATACCTTATTAACATATTTTAAGTATATTTAAAATAATCTAAATTGGAACATTTATTGCATTTAATGTCAATTTTAGTCGTATTTTATTAGCATTTAAGTATATTAACTACACTTAAAATTATCTAAATTGGGACACTTTTTTTGTTCTTAAGTATATTCTTAGTATAGATAAAGAGCAAAACAAATATACTTCGAATACACCTCAGGAACATATTATGTATATTTCTCATAAATTATAATTATAAAAAAAAAAATATTTGAATTCGAATTCCTGTATTTTCTTTTTTAAATAGTGTATTTATGCTGTGTTTCAAGTATACTTTTACAAATACACTTCTACTAATTAAGCACATCAGCTATTGTAATTAGCCATGTAAAGGTTACCTTGATTGACCAAGGCATCTTCTCAGCCAATGTTAACATACTATTTAGAAAGCGGATGTAGCTGGAGCAGCAATTTACAAGTAACGCTTTTGAGAACTGTGCACCATTGGCATTTCACACTTTAGTTATTCACATTACGGTAATAAGTTAACATTTCAATAAAATGTAATGTGTATTTAAAAGTACAACATTATTCAGTTTGAAAATGAACATCAAAATATTAGAATAAGCTAAATATGAGGAACACTATCCTATTATAAATCAAAACTTCAGCTGCAGAAAAGGATGCTGGGTAATATGAAAATGTTTGTGCTCATGCGTTTTTGAAAGTATACTTTAAATATATTTAGTAGACATTTAAGTTAAATATACTTTTTTGAAAGTATACTTAAGTATATTTTCTTGAGATATGTGCATGTTTCCTTATATGGAATAAATGATTATTATCATGGTCCTCTGTAGCTCAATTGGTAGAGCATGGCACTTGTAACGCCAGGGTAGTGGGTTCGATCCCCAGGACCACCCATACGTAAAAATGTATGCACGCATGACTGTAAGTCGTCTGCTAAATGGCATTATTATTATTATTATTGTAAACTTTCTCTGCACTCTTCTGAACAGGAATTCAGAAAGTACTTCAAAACTCATTATTGGCACTGAAACTACAGTGCCTAGCAAAAGTATGCATATCCCTTGGAGTTCTTCACATTTTATTGTTACAAAGTAGAATTAAAATTGATTTAATTGTAATTTTCAACACAAAATACTCTGTCAAAGTGGAAGATTTCTATATTTTTTTTGTTGAAAAGATTGATAGAAATGAAATAACTAAAATATAGTCATTGCATAAGTATTCAACCCCCTGATTCAATATACTGTATGTTAGAAACTCCTTTGGAACTGATTACAGCTGTGTTCTTGCGTAAGTCTCTAAGAGTTTTACACACCTGGATTGTGCAATATTAGCCCCTTATTCTTTTCTTAATGCTTCAATCTCTGTCAACATGTTGGTGAGCATTGCTACACAGCAATTTCCAAATCTTGCCATAGATTTTCAAGCAGATTTAAGTCAAAACTGTAACTTGGCCACTCAGGAACATTCACTTCTTGGTAAGCAAGACTGAAGCAGGTTTTCCTCTAGGATTTTGCATGTGCTTAGCTCCACCCGTTTATTTTTTATCCTGAACAACTCCCCAGTATTTGCCGATGTCAAGCATACCCATACCATGATGCAGCCACCACCATGCTTGAAAAGAAGGCGGCAGTTACTCAGTGATGTGTTGTGTTGGATTTGACCAAAACAAAAGGCTTTGCATTTAGGCCCAAAGTTTTTTTTTCAGAATACTTTAGTGCCTTGTTGCATACAAGATGTATGTTTTGGAATATTTGTATTCTGTATAGTTGTATTATTCTTTTAACTCTGTCTTGTGGAGTCACACCAATGTTGTTGATCCATTATCAGTTTTCTCCCATCACAGCCATTGAACTCTGTAACTGTTTTACAAATCACCAATGGCCTACTGGAACATCCCTGAGCAGTTTCATTCCTGTCCTGCAGCTCAGTTCAGAAGGACGACTGTATCTGTGTCTGGGTGGTTTAATACATAATCCACCGCATAATTATTAACTGGACCATGCTTAAAGAGATATTCAATGTCTGATTGGATATTGTTACCGATCTACCAATCACTACCCTTTTATGAGGCTTTCGAAAAGGCTCCTTGGTCTGTATTTCAATCTGTGCCTGAAATGCATTATTTGACTGAGGGACCTTACAGATGTTGTATGTATGGGGGACAGAGGAAGGGTTAGTCATAAAAAAAAAATGTCAACCCCCAATATATCACGTGATTTGTTAAGCCACATTTTACTCCTGAACTAATGTAGGCTTTCCTAAACAAAGGGGGTGAATACTTATGCAATGACTATATTTTAGTTATCAAATTTGTATTAATCTTATTTATTTATTTTTTACTTTGACATTACAGAGTATTTTGAGTTCATTGTTGACAACAAATGACAATTAAATCAATTTTAATCCCGCTTTTAACACAACACAATTTCAAGAAATACAAGGGGTATGAATACTTTTGCAAGGCCCTTTATACTTATAGTGTACTTGATCACTCACAAGCAGAGTTTCACTCGAAATAAATCAATGCTTCATGAATATACTAAATTACAAATGAAGCATATGGAATTGAAGTACAGTTTTAATGTGTGTTTAAGTTTAATGATAGTGAACATATAGTATACTTTAAGGCTGAAAACCAAGGAATTTAAAGTACACTTTTAATAAGTGTATTAAAGGTTGATGATAGTATATTTATAGTATACTAAAAGACTAAAAAAACAATGAATTTAAAGTACACTTTTAATAAGTGTATTAAAGGTTGATGATAGTATATTTATAGTATACTAAAAGACTGAAAAAACTATGAATATAAAGTACACTTAAGTGTGTTGAAGTGTAATTATATTATATTTATCGTATACTTCAGATACAGTGCCTTGCAAAAGTATTCATACCTCTTGGCGTTTTTCCTATTTTGTTGCATTACAACCTGTAATTTAAATGGATTTTTATTTGCATTTCATGTAATGGACATACACAAAATAGTCCAAATTGGTGAAGTGGAATTTAAAAAATAACTTGTTTCAATAAATTCTAAAAAATAAATAACGGAAAAGTGGTAAGTGCATACAGTGAGGGAAAAAGGTATTTGATCCACTGCTGATTATGTATGTTTGCCCACTGACAAAGACATGATCAGTCTATAATTTTAATGGTAGGTTTATTTGAACAGCGAGACAGAATAACAACATATTAAAAAATTCCAGAGAAACGCATGTCAAAAATGTTATAAATTGATTTGCATTTTAATGAGGGAAATAAGTATTTGACCCCTCTGCAAAACATGACTTAGTACTTGGTGGCAAAACCCTTGTTGGCAATCAAAGAGGTCAGACGTTTCTTGTAGTTGGCCACCAGGTTTACACACAACTCAGGAGGGATTTTGTCCCACTCCTCTTTGCAGATCTTCTCCAAGTCATTAAGGTTTCGAGGCTGACGTTTAGCAACTCGAACCTTCAGCTCCCTCTACAGATGTTTTATTGGATTAAGGTCTGGAGACTGGCTAGGCCACTCCAGGACCTTAATGTGTTTCTTCTTGAGCCACTCCTTTGTTGCCTTGGCAGTGTGTTTTGGGTCATTGTCATGCTGGAATACCCATCCACGACCCATTTTCAATGCCCTGGCTGAGGGAAGGAGGTTCTCACCCAAGATTTGACGGTACATGGCCCTGTCCATCGTCCCTTTGATGCGGTGAAGTTGTCCTGTCCCCTTAGCAGAAAAACACCCCCAAAGCATAATGTTTCCATCTCCAGGTTTGACGGTGGGGATGGTGTTCTTGGGGTCATAGGCAGCATTCCTCCCCTCCTCCAAACACGGCGAGTTGAGTTGATGCCAAAGAGCTCGATTTTGGTCTCATCTGTCCACAACCCTTTCACCCAGTTCTCCTCTGAATCATTCAGATGTTCATTGGCAAACTTCAGACGGGCCTGTATATGTGCTTTCTTGAGCAGGGGGACCTTGCGGGCGCTGCAGGATTTCAGTCCTTCACGGCGTAGTGTGTTACCAATTGTTTTCTTGATGACTATGGTCCCAGCTGCCTTGAGATCATTGACAAGATCCTCCCGTGTAGTTCTGGGCTGATTCCTCACCATTCTCAATCATTGCAACTCCACGAGGTGAGATCTTGCATGGAGCCCCAGGCCGAGGGAGATTGACAGTTATTTTATGTTTCTTCCATTTGCGAATAATCGCACCAACTATTGTCACCTTCTCACCAAGCTGCTTGCCGATGTTCTTGTAGCCCATTCCAGCCTTGTGTAGGTCTACAATCTTGTCCCTGACATCCTTGGAGAGGTCTTTGGTCTTGGCCATGATGGAGAGTTTGGAATCTGATTGATTGATTGCTTCTGTGGACAGGTGTCTTTTATACAGGTAACAAGCTGAGATTAGGAGCACTCCCTTTAAGAGTGTGCTCCTAATCTCAGCTCGTTACCTGTATAAAAGACACCTGGGAGCCAGAAATCTTTCTGATTGATTTTTGTTATTCTGTCTCTTACTGTTCAAATAAACGTACCATTAAAATTATAGACTGATCATTTCTTTGTCAGTGGGCAAACGTATAAAATCAGCAGGGGATCAAATACTTTTTTCCCTCACTGTATGTATTCACCCCCTTTGCTATGAAGCCCCTAAATAAGTTCTGGTGCAACCAATTACCTTCAGAAGTTACATAATTAGTTAAATCCGGGTTGGGTTATAAAAAAATATCAGAAACTTTGAACATCCCACGGAGCACCATTAAATCCATTATTAAAAAATGGAAAGAATATGGCACCACAACAAGCCTGCCAAGAGAGGGCCGCCCACCAGGTTTGTTGTGGTGCCATATTCTTTCAATTTTTTTATAATGGATTTAATGGTGCTCCGTGGGATGTTCAAAGTTTCTGATATTTTTTTATGAGATGAGACTAAAATTGAACTTTTTGGCCATCAAGGAAAACACTATGTCTGGCGCAAACCCAACACCTCTCATCACCCCGAGAACACCATCCCCACAGTGAAGCATGGTGGTGGCAGCATCATGCTGTGGGGATGTTTTTCATCGGCAGGGACTGGGAAACTGGTCAGAATTGAAGGAATGATGGATGGCACTAAATACAGGCAAATTCTTGAGGGAAACCTGTTTCAGTCTTCCAGAGATTTGAGACTGGGACAGAGGTTCACCTTCCAGCAGGACAATGACCCTAAGCATACTGCTAAAGCAACACTTGAGTGGTTTAAGGGGAAACATTTAAACGTCTTGGAATGGCCTAGTCAAAGCCCAGACCTCAATCCAATTGAGAATCTGTGGTATGACTTAAAGATTGCTGTACACCAGCGGAACCCATCCAACGTGAAGGAGCTGGAGCAGTTTTGCCTTGAAGAATGGGCAAAAATCCCAGTGGCTAGATGTGCCAAGCTTATAGAGACATACCTCAAGAGACTTGCAGCTGTAATTGCTGCAAAAGGTGGCTCTACAAAGTATTGACTTTGGGGGGGGTGAATAGTTATGCACGCTCAAATTTTCAGTTTTTTTCTTATTACTTGTTTGTTTCACAATAAAAAATATTTTGCATCTTCAAAGTGGTAGGCATGCTGTGTAAATCAAATTCACCCCCCCCAAAAAAATCAATTTTAATTCCAGGTTGTAAGGCAACAAAATTGGGAAAATGCCAAGGGGGGTGAATACTTTCGCAAGCCACTGTATACTAGAAAAATACATCTCGTATTTGAAGTATATTATTCAATATTTTTGTATAGTTAAGTATACTGTAGTATACTGTAATATATTAAAATATACTTAATTTTTTCGCTTGGGACGACTCTGAGAAATCTTTGGCGGTATTGATTGATTAAGCCTTTGCCAGAACGGTTAGAATTTGTTTTCTCAATTCAGAAGCAATTTAGAAGACGTCCCAGTAGTGTGGGTCTTAACTGGAGCAGTTTTCAAAGGCAGTAATTAGAGTCAGTTTAGGGAAACACTACCATTTTTTCGTACAGAGTAACAAAACAGAACTTCACTTCAAGAGCATTACGAGGATTAAATAATGGAATTTTCATATCTAGTGTAGGGTTAAACACTTCCTAACAAATACATTCTCAAAGAGTTTGATAAATTGTAAAGCAAAGAAGTCATTGATGCATTTGGTAAAACATCTGAAATATATCATATTAACTCATGCTCACCCTCACACCGGGGAAAGGGATGATTCCATTTTCTGTTGATTCCATGTTGGCATGTGAGCACAGGATGTCCAATCAGAACGTATCCAGGAAAGCACTCAAAAGTTATTGACTGGCCAGCATTGTAGTCATTATTAATTATATATCCGTTAGGGAATTGAGTAGGGTCTTGGCAATTCTGCAATTCATATGCTAAAACACGAGAGAGAGAGAGAGAAAGAGAGAAAGAGAGAGAGAGAGAGAGAGAGAGGGAGAGAGAGAGAGAGGGAGAAAAAAAAAGGTGAGGTTACACATAATTCTTATAACAGGAATGTACGTACATACATCATAACAAAATAAAAACAGAATTGAACAAAACATTTTCAAACTAATTTTGTGGTCTCTCCACCACAGGTGACTCATCCCACTTAACCTTTTGAGACAGTACTGGAACACACATGCCACCTGTCAGACACATTTCCACAAAATGTCACTGTGACATGTCTATTTCAAGCATATGCCAACAACAAAGAATGGCCATCAGGAAACCATCAAGCTTTTCTATTTCAACCTAAAAATACATCAACGTTACTCCAAAAGCTAATGAAGCTTGATAAAGCTGATAATTGACGATCGCATTCACATTTCTTTTTTTAATACAATTAACGTTGCCTGACGACTCAAATTGAATTATTCCGCAGTTCTATGTTCGCTACAGGCTTCAGTCTGAGAACGCCAAAATGAGGGGTGTTATATAAAAGTAATCAGTGTTTGGATCATCTCTAACCAATCAGAGTATCAACGCCAATGAATACTTTAAAAAAAACTGCTTTACCCACGTGTGTTCTGGCTCTGGCCCAACCCATCGGTTTCTGGGACCAATCAGAATGGTTAGAATGTGTTTGCGTTCTAGAAATCTTCGGGTAGGTATTCAGATCCAGACTCATTGCGGAGAAGAAACTAACGTCCGTGGGCGTGGTGTAGCGTTTGGCCGGAGAAAGAAGTTTGGGTAGCCAGGCAACAATGAACTAGCCTGTAAGCAGCAATTGCTAAATTAGATGTGGTATTCTAGCCATGTGGTTGTTTGTTTGCTGAGAGGAGAGGAGGGAAAGCCAGAATATGAACCCTCTGGCCTAGAAGTGGGAGAAGAAGACATACAGGGTTATCTCTTGTAAGGTGGAAGCCATGCACTCAACATCTAAATGCCACTCTCCATTGATTCTGAATGTTTTCTCCAGGCGGGAGCAGCCACATAATGGAGTAACCTCTCAATGATCCTGAGAGGGCAGATTCTCAGATAATTTAACTGACAGGCACTTAAGTCCTTGAATCTGACATTCCATCTATTTTGTATTTAACATTTAATCACTCTGAGTTGCGTCCTAAAAAGAAAGCTAGAGCATGTTTACATTTAAGTCATTTAGCAGACACTCTTATCCAGAACGACTTACAGTTAGTGAGTGCATATATTTTTCATACTGGCCCCCCGTGGGAATCGAACCCACAACCCTGGCGTTGCAAACGCCATGCTCTAGCAACTGAGCTATACGGGACCATATCAACAGAAGATAGATAAAAACGGTGTCGATGAGGATTTCACATCAGTCTTTTCCATAGACTGTTTTCCAGATATGGCACAAAGGCCCCCAAAACAATATTCAAGTACCAAAATTGTCAATTGAAACCAATAGAGACCAAGCTCTTTTAGAAGAAACTGAGCTAGACGGGTAGGGAATACACTGTTTCACATGGTTGATCAAAACAGAGTATACCTCACCTTCGTAGGCCAGTTTGAATCCCTGCCTGTTTTCGGAGTGGTCACTGTAGAAGTGGATAACGGTCTCATGTGTTGTACTCAGCAGGTTGGGCGGCAGCTGACTTCCGCTGAACTGTCCAATCAGAGAGCTGCTGTGCTGCGGCCCATTTCGCACCTCTAAAAAATCATGGTTGTCTTCAGAGGAGAAGTTGAAAAACTGAATATGAGCACCTGTAAAACACAGAAACATTATATGAGATATACTGTAATCAAAACATGCATTAAAGTGTTAAATGGTTCAAGTCCCATTAACCTAAAGTGTTAACTGTTAACAAAAATTGTGGCATGTGGACATGTGTTGTAATCATTTAATGCATTTAGCAGACATTAACATGGCTCATTTAATGTGGTTTATTTTCACCTTTTGTGCTAGCCTATTTTTGTCAAGCTACATCATGTCAGCATGTTGAGAGAAACTATTCAACTCATAATTTGTTATGATGGTAGAAATGATTCCGCAATTTAACATTGAGATCAGCTCATGTTTTTCCAGGGGAGACACAGAAGTGGGAAATGAATATAATCCATTTCAGTGTGTTTTTCTGGTAAGTTGTGTTCTGTTAGTCCAAGGGTGGGCCAAGGCCTAATGCTGGAGGAAAGCATTTGCCACTTGGTGATGAATGGGACAATCCATTGAAGGATGATCTTGTAGTTATGTATCCATATACCGCTTTCTTACAATGTTTTATTCTACCCACTCTGTCCTAAAAGCTGAAATCAGCATCTGCCAAACATTTTTTTGTGTCTTATAAATAATATTGGGCCCTGTAAACAACACAAGCTTATGCATTGTTGGTATACACACAGTACAAAATGATTGTTTTTATTCTTACTTGGAGTGGTTGCTTGATAAGGCAGAAAATTGCTTTTGGATATCTCGATGTGTTACAATATTTTTATTAGGTTGGGTAAAGAAAATTATTTGTGCTCAGAGGCAAGCCTGAATAGCTTTTTAAATCACACACAATTACCTAACATCTGGAATGGTTACTTTGTTCTGGAGTCATTTGAACTATGAAGCACCACCAATATGTGGGCTGCAACCAACAGCTCTCTTGTAAATTGCTTTACGGATTTAAACTGACAGCAAAGGTCTAAAAATTGAGATAAATAAAGCAAGAGGAAAACTAAAGGGTGACCCGCTATCCATTTTCCTAAGGACTACCTTTTGTTAGTTCCAGGCAGAAATGTGAATCACTAATATATTTAAAAATGAATAAAAACATAATATAAAAAATAAAGCTATTATCGCTGACCTTACTAACATTAGCCATGGCTTCTTATTATCGTTATCATAGCAGGTTCCTCACCATATCCAACTGGTAAGAGAATCCTCCATGTACAGTCCAGGTTACCAGGGTAGTTGCCAGGGAATCCAGGACTTAAAATAACATTGGTCAAGTCATGTACTGTTCCACCACACCTTGCTGGAAAGGAAAATGCACATCATGCGTGGTACACATTGTAAAATAGTGCAGACAATGAATAGCACTGAAACTGTCAAAAAGAGCCTTGAATGTGACAATTTCAAAGTAAAAGTTCTTACCAATGCAGAGTGGGGGAGGGTAGTTCCAGCGCCGCACGGTCCCTGGCATACATGATATATGGGAGTGGCCCTGGAAAATAGTTTCCCAGCAGAAGTAAAGGTAGGGGGTTTCTCTCTCAGCACACTGAACTCAGAGACAAATCACTGTTTGCCTCTGTTGCTGAGTTTACCTTGCATGCACATGTGACCCAGCACACATCTCTACAGATTTACTTATCGGATAAAGCTTAGCACTTTGACATAGCAGTGGGAATACAGCACACGTGATTTTCTAAAAGGCAGAAGCTCTCACCTGCAGCATGTATCCCGGTTCACAGCTGAATGACACCACTTCGTTGACCATGTACCTGTCCCCTGTTTTGATCCCGTTGGCAGGCACCATCGGCTCCGGACAGGTGGTGAGACCAACGGCTGGATGAAGCAGAGAGAGAAAACAGGTGTCATCATGTCTGGTTAGATAGAGTACTTGATATTGCACATCACAAGAATGTTTGGTCTTCATTCCTCAGTTTGGTGATCATGTTTTGAGACTTATGTTTCAGAGTTGCACAGTAGTTATCAAAGCTGGAGCAACAAGAGGCAAACACATTGGAGAGTATTGCAAAGCCAATTGGATATGATTATTGAATGCTGTGAACAGGCTCTAGTATAGTAGTGCCGTGTAGCTCAGTTGGTAGAGCATGGCGCTTGCAACGCCAGGGTTGTGGGTTCGATTCCCACGGGGGGCCAGTATGTAAATGTATGCACTCACTAACTGTAAGTCGCTCTGGATAAGAGCATCTGCTAAATGACTCAAATGTAAAATGTATAGCCTATAGAGAAAATGTATATTGGTTTTGTCATAATGATTTTGTTAAGTTTTGTATATTCAAATAACATTTGGATCAAGGGCGAAACAGTACAGACGGGCGTCCTCCACTGATTTTTTGTTGTTGACATTTTAAAACGTATTTCCTGTAATTCTACTTATTATGCCTCTGAGGGGTATTTTGAGGGGTATATGGAGGGGTATTTTGAGGGTTATATGGAGGGGTATTTTGAGGGGTAAATGGAGGGTTATTTTGAGAGGTATATGGAGGAGTATTTTGAAAACACAGTATAAGTGGAAGAATAAGTGGAAGGCCGTCCAACCCCCAAAATAAAACAAAAAACAGATATGTTTTTGGGAAAACAGCTAACTTTCTGCATTTCAACACATTTGGCCATGGGGCAGAGTGAAACTTTTACAGATGTTTAAAACGGATGAATAAGTTAATATTGCTATTCTACACATTTTGTCATGAGTCTAAAAGAAAATGTTTCTGTTTTATAGCTTCTCATGCTATTCTTCACAATTTGCGAGAGAAAACGTTGCAGTTTTAAAGTAACTGTCCAGTGAAAATCTCACTTTTAAAAGTTCATATTCTGTTAACTCATACCAAAACAATGTTGTTGACTCATCCATTACTCGATTTTGTGGCCAATGCATAAATTGGAGAAAAAACACTTAAAAAACCCCACCTCAAACAGACCATTTAAAAAATGAGGAGGATAAGCTGGCCACTCAGCCACACCATTCCAACACAGAAAATATGCTTTTTAAAATAATTACAATTTTGGGGAAGGAAAAGTATTTCACTCATATTGTAATTAATTATTGGTCATATTTCATAGAAATCTAGAAACACTGGACAGTTACTTTAAAAAGGTTGACTTTGAAAAAATAAAAAATAAAAAAATAACCGCTTTAAACTGTATAACTGTTTAATGCACCATCATTCCAGGTCATTTAATGCTTAAAAACAAAACAAAAACGGATGAATAAGTTATTTGGCTACAGAAGTGCAATTTCTTACTGATCTTTACAGATCCGTCCAAAAGCAAATCCTTTGAAATGACGTCAACACATACTGGAGGAGTTACTAGCTAGCTACAAGTGGCTAGCTTAGCTAACGAACTAGCTACAGTACGTCGGTCGGGGCGCGCATTACCCCGAGTGACATAACGATGAACCACCAAAGGCACACCCCATTTCTGTTTGAAATTTGAGAAAGAGGAGGAGTTCAAATCAAATCAATCAAATGTTATTTGTCACATGCTTCATAGTCAACAATTGTAGATTAACAGTGAAATGCTTACTTATGGGTCCTTTTCCAACAATGCAGAGTTAAATATAAGATAACAAATAAAATAAAACATTGAAATAGTGACACAGTGAATAACTAATACAAAAAAATATATAGGGAGTAGAAAATAACATGCTATATACAGGGAGTACCAGTACCGAGTCGATGTGCAGGGTACGAGGTCATTGAGGTAGCTATGTACTGTACATATAAGTAGGGGTAAAGTGACTAGCATATGTGGTGAGTGTGAATGTAAGTGTGTGTGCGCGTGTGTGTAACAAACTGTAAGTCTCTCTGGATAAGCGCGTCTGCTAAATGACTAAAATGTAAATGTAAATGTGTGTGGCGTCAGTATGCACATGTGTGCATGTTATGTGTACGTGGGTGTATGTAGTGTGTGTGTGTCTGTGTGTACTGTATATGTGTGTGTTGGGGTATCAGTGTAAGTATGTGTAAGTGTGTGGGTAGAGTCCAGTGTGTGTGCATAGAGTCAGTGCAAGAGAGTTAGCGCAAAAATGGGTCAATGCAGGTAGTCCGGGTAGCCATTTGATTAGCTATTTAGCAGTCTTGTTTAGAAGTCTTATGGCTTGGGGGTAGAAGCTGTTCAGGGTCCTGTTGGTTCCAGACTTGATGCATTGGTACCGATTGCCATGCGGTAGCAGAGCGAACAGTGTGGCTTCGGTGGCTGGAGTCTTTTGCAATTTTTTGGGCCTTCCGTCCTCTGACACTGCCTGGTATAGAGGTCCTGGATGGCAAGGAGCTTGGCCCCAGTGATGTACAGTACGTGGACTGTTTTTCGCGCCCAAAGTCGACCACTAAAGCAAATTTTCTGCAATTCTACACATTTTGCCATTGCTTATGACGTGTTCATATGCTATCTGGGGGCCCCTGACCTCCAATAATATATTTTTTTGATTTTAAATAAATTATTGGTGGGACACGAATCGACCTGTTCTGAATATTGGGGGGGGACATGTCCCCCCCATCCCCGCGGCAATTTCGCCTATGATTTGGATGGATAAACCCACAGTCACAGGAAGGTAATGCTGATAAATGACTACAGTTGGGGTACCCAGGTGCACAGGGTATTGAAGAAATTATGAAGCTATAAGTGCCATTTGTGCTGTGTAACCTTTGTCTCTATGCTTTTGAATTTAGAACGCTAAAACAGTATTGCTAAAAAATCTGAAAACAGCATAACCACTGATCAGCGTTATGCAAATACATATTGTAATTAAACATCTTTAAAACATATTTCAGTAGGTTAAAACTGTACACACTGCAGTATGAGACAGTGAGAGAGCATGTTGCCATGACAACCACATTAGTCAAGCCAATGAAAGGAGAACCTGTATAAATACGCCTTGTTTAGATGTACGACTCAGCAGGTGGCACTGTGCCGTTGTGAGTGTGTGTAAAACTGCGTCATTGTTTCTCCCCCTATCAATAGCAAAGCACTTTCACCTACAATGCTTAGGCCTACAATACCAAACACAAAAAAAGCAGACAGACAGTCACACTGCTAATGTGTAGGTAAACTGTTTCAAACAGGGAAGCCCAAATGGCTCTGGGGGGATGGGGTGAGCCTATGGAGATTAAACATTAGCTTTGGTTCAAAGAGAATTCACAGCAGAATTCGGAGCAAGTTCCTTTCAATAGATTTTAAGGAGCATGTGCTCATGTTCAGGAGGGGGTGAGTGGAGATTAATACAACTGATGAAAAACCGGTTGAACCACAAAAGTAAAACTGGATATTTCTTGAAATGCTAAGGCATCAGAACACTGGCTTATACCAAACTACTAGCACATCATTTATTTTGATCAATATCACTTGTTAATTCCAATTCCATCTAGCTGACACTCACATTAAACATACCAACCATTTTAAATGTTTTTCTGCAGAATAAATCAATAAAATGCCTCATGGCCATATTCTCTCAGATGATAAATGATAACCCTTGAGGGGGAAAAACCTGACATTTTCTCCACAACCACAATAACAGAGGACTGATCCAGGCAGGAATTCAGCCTTCAAGATCCAGAAAGTCGAACATTTGATACACTTGTCTCGTCACCCGAGCTCTAACTAATTCACCATCTTAATGTGTGATCAAAACACGTGCCATGAATCTCCCAACTGCATAATAGCTTTGGCACTTTGCAAGTACTGTGCACAAGACAGATTCAGTCTAGGATCATTAAGATGCAGCCACAGTCATCCGATGCTAAACATTTAGAATGAACCTAAAAGTCAATGACAGCCATATCCGTGCAAATATAACAAGCTCCTCTCCTTCTGACAGAAAGTCAGAAAGCTTTTTCTTTTTAATGATATCTACTTTTACAGTACATGTAGCTCTGAAAATAAAAGCAATTGTACAGTGTATGTCCTTTACATACATTTATTTCCCCTCTTCTGCAGAACATTGCAGAAATGGCATGGTTTTATAAGGCATAACGCTTCCAGGAAGACATCCTGACAATTATGTGTATTAATATTCGAGAGAATTGGCAAAGAATATATACTAAATTGGCCTAAACCATCTTAATTTGGAACATCCTGACATTCTCAGCATGTCTTAGTTTTGTCCAAATCTATTAGCAAGGCTGGCTGATATTTTTTGCCCAGCATTTGCACATGCCGCCTTGGTCTGAACCTGCCTGTTCTGCGTTCTTTTATCTTGATTTGACCAGGTCATTCTCATTAATACATGTAACAGCGACCTGGAAAGGGAAGTGTTGCTATGGAGAGATGAAGGGTTAAACAAGTCAATTCAAAGATAGATCATTTGGTTGCTGTTGCCATGTAAGAAGGAGGTTCCAGGTTGGCAATTCAGCCATGATTCAAAGGTTAACATGCCTAATCTAGCATGTAGGGTTGTGTTGTGGGGCATGTACCCACTGGACACAGACGTCAATTTAATGTGAAATGACATGGAAACAGTGTTGATTCAACCAGAGTGTGCCCAGTGGGTAGTGACCAGAAGGAGTCATGACCTTCGTTAAATATCTCCTCTCCATATACAGTTGGGTCTGAAATTATTGACACCCTTGATAAAGATGAGCAAATATGATTGTATAAAATAAATAATTAAAATACTGAACTATGTTCAGTTTCCTGGTTAGATCTACTGTATATCACAAAACACACTGGCTGCACATAGGGGCTATCCTTCTAAGTGGAACTGAGAGAGGGGAAATAGACAAATTGGTATCCCACTGAGAGGACTTAGAGATAGTGGCAGAGGAATTGGAGGTGTTAAGAATGAATAAGGTGAAATGGTATACATCAGGACATGCCACGGCAGCTAAAAGGCACTGTTTCTTCTGTTAAGACAGAGCCAGATGAGGCAAGCGGACACAGAGACAGAGGATCTCTGATGCTATCAGTGTCCACACAGCACAGATTGGGAGCCCATTTCAGAATACAAAAGAGGAATTCACATCAGGCTCCAACCAAACTAAGAGGTAGTGGTAAAAATCTGTCTCCAACCGATCTAAGAGGTAGTGGTAAAATTCTGTCTCCAACCGATCTAAGAGGTAGTGGTAAAAATCTGTCTCCAACCAATCTAAGAGGCAGTGGTAAAAATCTGTCTCCAACCGATCTAAGAGGCAGTGGTAAAAATCTGTCTCCAACCGAGCTAAGAGGCAGTGGTAAAAATCTGTCTCCAACCGATCTAAGAGGCAGTGGTAAAAATCTGTCTCCAACCGAGCTAAGAGGCAGTGGTAAAAATCTGTCTCCAACCGATCTAAGAGGCAGTGATATAAATCTGTCTCCAACCGAGCTAAGAGGCAGTGGTAAAAATCTGTCTCCAACGGATCTAAGAGGCAGCGGTAAAAGGTGGAGACATCAAATTCTATCAGCCAGTTTTCTTTGTATTTATTTTTGGTTTAACAACATTTCGGTTGTAGCCTACTTGTTGTACATTGATGCACATTTTTTTTGTTTGTTGTTTAAATCTTCCTGACATAAAGGGAAATGTCATCAGGCCTGACAAACATCTTAATGAGATGTACACATTCATAAAACATTGTGATCAACATCAAAATCTTAACAATTTAGGATCTGAATGAGAACAGAGGTTGGCACTTCATCTAGCAACAAGGGTCTGTGTATGTGTAGATTATGTATTATTTGATCCTGCTAAAGTACATTGGTTTATAGAGCACAGTAGAGATTCAAGAGGGGGCAATTCTTTGGTCTACTGTCTTTTGTTGTCCGATTGAAAGTAGTTGAGAGGGATGGCATCTAAAGGCAAGCTGACAACCTTCCAAAGGCTATCATTTTCCCATAGACAGATTACTGTATTCAAATCAGTCTTACTCAGTAGGCTACAGTAGTGAGTTAATAGACAGGTGGACAGAATGCCAACTATGATGACAGCTTTGGTTACTTTTCTAAAGCTTTTACATATGTCGAAAATACACAAACCTCACCCAGAGCTGCTTAATTCTGCACATAAAAAAAGTAAAATGCCCTGTTGAGAGCTTTCGATCATGATCCTTTTAGCTGCACTGTAGGTGATGCTACTAAACTCAGCAAAAAAAGAAACGTCCCTTTTCAGGACCCTGTCTTTCAAAGATAATTCGTAAAGATCCAAATAACTTCACAGATCTTCATTGTAAAGGGTTTAAACACTGTTTCCCATGCTTGTTCAATTAACCATTAACAATTAATGTACATGCACCTGACACTAACGGTAGGCAATTAAGGTCACAGTTATGAAAACTTAGGACACTAAAGAGGCCTTTCTACTGACTCTGAAAAACACCAAAAGAAAGATGCTCAGGGTCCCCGCTCATCTGCGTGAACATGCCTTAGGCATGCTGCAAGGAGGCATGAGGACTGCAGATGTGGCCAGGACAATAAATTGCAATGTATGTACTGTGAGACGCCTAAGACAGCGCTACAGGGAGACAGGACGGGCAGCTGATCGTTCTTGCAGTGGCAGACCACGTGTAACAACACCTGCACAGGATCGGTACATCCGAACATCACACCTGCGGGACAGATACAGGATGGCAACAACAACTGCCCGAGTTACACCAGGAACGCACAATCCCTCCATCAGTGCTCAGACTGTCCGCAATAGGCTGAGAGAGGCTGGACTGAGGGCTTGTAGGCCTGTTGTAAGGCAGGTCCTCACCAGACATCACCGGCAACAACGTCGCCTATGGGCACAAACCCACCATCGCTGGACCAGACAGGACTGGCAAAAAGTGCTCTTCACTGACGAGTCGCGGTTTTGTCTCACCAGGGGTGATGGTCGGATTCGCGTTTATCATCGGAGGAATGAGCGTTACACTGAGGCCTGTACTCTGGAGCGGGATCGATTTGGAGGTGGAGGGTCCGTCATGGTCTGGGGCGGTGTGTCACAGCATCATTAGTCTGAGCTTGTTGTCATTGCAGGCAATCTCAACGCTGTGCATTAAAGGGAAGATATCCTCCTCCCTCATGTGGTACCCTTCCTGCAGGCTCATCCTGACATGACCCTCCAGCATGACAATGGCACCAGCCATACTGCTCACTCTGTGCGTGATTTCCTGCAAGACAGGAATGTCAGTGTTCTGCCATGGCCAGCGAAGAGCCCGGATCTCAATCCCATTGAGCACGTCTGGGTCTTATTGGATCGGAGGGTGAGGGCTAGGGCCATTCCCCCCAGAAATGTCTGGGAACTTGCAGGTGCCTTGGTGGAAGAGTGGGGTAACATCTCACAGCAAGAACTGGCAAATCTGGTGCAGTAAATGAGGAGGAGATGCACTGCAGTACTTAATGCAGCTGGTGGCCATACCAGATACCGACTGTTACTTTTGATTTTGACCCCCCCTTTGTTCAGGAACACATTATTCAATTTCTGTTAGTCACATGTCTGTGGAACTTGTTCAGTTTATGTCTCAGTTGTTGAATCTTGTTATGTTCATAGAAATATTTACACATGTTAAGTTTGCTGAAAATAAACGCAGTTGACAGTGAGAGGACGTTTCTTTTTTTGCTGAGTTTACATACCCACTACATTCTTGTTATAAACAAGGGCGCAGAAAAAGAAAAAAGAGAAAGATAGAAAGTGAAGGGGGGTAGAGAGAGATAGAGAGAGTGAAAGGGGGAGGGAGAGAGAGAGTCAAAGAGAGTCTAAGAGAGTCTAAGAGAGTCTAAGAGAGTGTATAAGCAAAATGTAATTTGCAAAGGGGAAATCTTGTGGATTCCTTTTTGTTCTTCACAGGGGTAGAGAGTATGGAGATAATGAACGTGGCACGATGAGACACACTGTACTCACTTTTGTACTCAAGGTGGAATCCAGCGGCAACAACACTGATATCACTCTGGAAGTGAAGGTAGAGTTGGTTGGAGGTACTGTTCAGCAAGGCTGGAGCAGTTGTACCTGAAATACATCACAGAATAAATCCACATTCATCTCACTGTTGAAAGAAGTTCCATTTGCACTACTGATTATATATGGATGCTCTCTTGAGGATTGGTTTGTCAAATGACTACAGTTTATATTGATGGCCAAAACAGAATAAGGTGAACAGCTGTTTGCTATTCTATGGACTTTTTTCCTCCATTATAAAATACAATCCTTTTTGGAAGTCAACCAAAGGAAAAACATGGGAAAGGGAGGACGAGGAATACAAAATATGCTGAAAAGTTCAGACAGAAGGTGATCATTGAAGTTTGTCGCTGATCTTCAGTAAGAACTGATCTCCCAGGGGAGAGCTCTCATCAAAGGCTTCCAAGGTGCAGTCAACCATCTGACCACTGAGAGGGGAAAAGTACAAGTTAAACACCCACAACTGCTGAAAGACGATGCCAAGAGCTTACCCATGATGTTGCACAACGATTTAAGTCAATAAGTCATCGTTTTAGTCAAAGTATGATACATTTGGGCTTAAAGTGGAAAATCTGAAGTGGGACATTCATGGAAATTCATGTCAATGCCGTATCTTTTCCTATGAGATGACGTACAAATACTTTTCAGACTACGTTTCGTTTCAGGGCTGGGTTTTATTTGAAAGTTACCACCCACCAGCATGGCATTGTTTATTAATCAGAAACACCTGCAATGTTCTTCCTCTTCACGAGTCATGACTGAGCTGAGACAAACAGCCTTTCGATGTCCACTTGGGCACCTGAGCCATGGAGCAAATAAAAATTATCATTATCCATTGGATAATTGGTCAAGTTTCACTTAATTTCTTAGCTTGTATTACAAAATATACAGTGGGGAGAACAAGTATTTGATACACTGCCGATTTTGCAGGTTTTCCTACTTACAAAGCATGTACAGGTCTGTAATTTTTATCATAGGTACACTTCAACTGTGAGAGACGGAACCTAAAACAAAAATCCAAGTAATTAATTTGCAAAAATCCAGAGACGGAACCTAAAACAAAAATCCAAGTAATTAATTTGCATTTTATTGTATGACATAAGTATTTGATACATCAGAAAAGCAGAACTTAATATTTGGTACAGAAACCTTTGTTTGCAATTACAGAGATCATATGTTTCCTGTAGGTCTTGACCAGGTTTGCACACACTGCAGCAGGGATTTTGGCCCACTCCTCCATACAAACCTTCTTCAGATCCTTCAGGTTTCGGGGCTGTCGCTGGGCAATACGGACTTTCAGCTCCCTCCAAAGATTTTCTATTGGGTTCAGGTCTGGAGACTGGCTAGGCCACTCCAGGACCTTGAGATGCTTCTTACTGAGCCACTCCTTAGTTGCCCTGGCTGTGTGTTTCGGGTCATTGTCATGCTGGAAGACCCAGCCACGACCCATCTTCAATGCTCTTACTGAGGGAAGGAGGTTGTTGGCCAAGATCTCACGATACATGGCCCCATCCATCCTCCCCTCAATACGGTGCAGTCGTCCTGTCCCCTTTGCAGAAAAGCATCCCCAAAGAATGATGTTTCCACCTCCATGCTTCACGGTTGGGATGGTGTTCTTGGGGTTGTACTCATCCTTCTTCTTCCTCCAAACACGGCGAGTGGAGTTTAGACCAAAAAGCTCTATTTTTGTCTCATCAGACCACATTACCTTCTCCCATTCCTCCTCTGGATCATCCAGATGGTCATTGGCAAACTTCAGATGGGCCTGGACATGCGCTGGCTTGAGCAGGGGGACCTTGCGTGCGCTGCAGGATTTTAATCCATGACGGCGTAATGTGTTACTAATGGTTTTCTTTGAGACTGTGGTCCCAGCTCTCTTCAGGTCATTGACCAGGTCCTGCCGTGTAGTTCTGGGCTGATCCCTCACCTTCCTCATGATCATTGATGCCCCACGAGGTGAGATCTTGCATGGAGCCCCAGACCGAGGGTGATTGACCGTCATCTTGAACTTCTTCCATTTTCTAATTACTGCGCCAACAGTTGTTGCCTTCTCACCAAGCTGCTTGCCTATTGTCCTGTAGCCCATCCCAGCCTTGTGCAGGTCTACAATTTTATCCCTGATGTCCTTACATAGCTCTCTGGTCTTGGCCATTGTGGAGAGGTTGGAGTCTGTTTGATTGAGTGTGTGGACAGGTGTCTTTTATACAGGTAACGAGTTCAAACAGGTGCAGTTAATACAGGTAATGAGTGGAGAACAGGAGGGCTTCTTAAAGAAAAACTAACAGGTCTGGAGAGCCGGAATTCTTACTGGTTGGTAGGTGATCAAATACTTATGTCATGCAATAAAATGCAAATTAATTACTTAAAAATCATACAATGTGACTTTCTGGATTTTTGTTTTAGATTCTGTCTCTCACAGTTGAGGTGTACCTATGATAAAAATTACAGACCTCTACATGCTTTGTAAGTAGGAAAACCTGCAAAATCGGCAGTGTATCAAATACTTGTTCTCCCCACTGTATACTGTACAGTGAGGGAAAAAAAGTATTTGATCCCCTGCTGATTTTGTACGTTTGCCCACTGACAAAGACATGATCAGTCTATAATTTTAATGGTAGGTTTATTTGAACAGTGAGAGACAGAATAACAACAAAATAATCCAGAAAAACGCATGTCAAAATGTTATAAATTGTTTTGCATTTTAATGAGGGAAATAAGTATTTGACCCCTCTGCAAAACATGACTTAGTACTTGTTGGCAAAACCCTTGTTGGCAATCACAGAGGTCAGACTTTTCTTGTAGTTGGCCACCAGGTTTGCACACAACTCAGGAGGGATTTTGTCCCACTCCTCTTTGCAGATCTTCTCCAAGTCATTAAGGTTTCGAGGCTGACATTTGGCAACTTGAACCTTCAGCTCCCTCCACAGATTGTCTATGGGATTAAGGTCTGGAGACTGGCTAGGCCACTCCAGGACCTTAATGTGCTTCTTCTTGAGCCACTCCTTTGTTGCCTTGGCCATGTGTTTTGGGTCATTGTCATGCTGGAATACCCATCCACGACCCATTTTCAATGCCCTGGCTGAGGGAAGGAGGTTCTCACCCAAGATTTGACGGTACATGGCCCTGTCCATTGTCCCTTTGATGCAGTGAAGTTGTCCTGTCCCCTTAGCAGAAAAACACCCCCAAAGCATAATGTTTCCACCTACATGTTTGACGGTGGGCATGGTGTTCTTGGGGTCATAGGCAGCATTCCTCCTCCTCCAAACACGGCGAGTTGAGTTGATGCCAAAGAGCTCAATTTTGGTCTCATCTGACCACAACACTTTCACCCAGTTCTCCTCTGAATCATGCAGATGTTCATTGGCAAACTTCAGACGGGCCTGTATATGTGCTTTCTTGAGCAGGGGGACCTTGCGGGCGCTGCAGGATTTCAGTCCTTCACGGCGTAGTGTGTTACCAATTGTTTTCATGGTGACTATGGTCCCAGCTGCCTTGAGATCATTGACAAGATCCTCCCGTGTAGTTCTGGGCTGATTCCTCACCGTTCTCATGATCATTGCAACTCCACGAGGTGAGATCCTGCATGGAGCCCCAGGCCGAGGGAGATTGACAGTTATTTTGTGTTTCTTCCATTTGCGAATAATCGCACCAACTGTTGTCACCTTCTCACCAAGCTGCTTGGCGATGGTTTTGTAGCCCATTCCAGCCTTGTGTAGGTCTACAATCTTGTCCCTGACATCCTTGGAGCTCTTTGGTCTTGGCCATGGTGGAGAGTTAGGAATCTGATTGATTGATTGCTTCTGTGGACAGGTGTCTTTTATAAAGGTAACAAGCTGAGATTAGGAGCACTCCCTTTAAGAGTGTGCTCCTAATCTCAACTCATTACATGTATAAAAGACACCTGGGAGCCAGAAATCTTTCTGATTGAGAGGGGGTCAAATACTTATTTCCCTCATTAAAATGCAAATCAATTTATAACATTTTTGACATGCGTTTTTCTGGATTTTTTTGTTGTTATTCTGTCTCTCACTGTTCAAATAAACATACCATTAAAATTATAGACTGATCATTTCTTTGTCAGTGGGCAAACTTACAAAATAAGCAGGGGATCAAATACTTTTTTCCCTCACTGTATGTGCCTTTAGAAAATATTCACACCCCTTGTTCGTTGGGAGCTTCATGAAATGGGTTTCCATGGCCGAGCAGCCACACACAAGCCTAAGATCACCATGCGCAATGCCAAGCATTGGCTGGAGTGGTGTAAAGCTCGCCGCCATTGGATTCTGGAGCAGTGGAAACGTGTTTTCTGGAGTGATGAATCACACTTCACCATCTGGCAGTCCGACAGATGAATCTGGGTTTGGTGGATGCCAGGAGAATGCTACCTGCCCGAATGCATAGTGCTAACTTTAAAGTTTGGTGGAGGAGGAATAATGGTCTGGGGCTGTTTTTCATGGTTCGGGCTAGGACCCTTAGTTCCAGTGAAGGGAAAGCCTTCCCAGAAGAGTGGAGGCTGTTATATGCCCATGATTTTGGAATGAGATGTTCGACGAGAAGGTGTCCACATACTTTGTCTCGCATCCCTCCAATAGAGTTCCAGACACCTGTATACTCTATGCCAAGGTGCATTGAAGCCATCTGGCAGCTCGTGGTGGCCCAACGCCCTATTAATACACTTTATGTTGGTGTTTCCTTTATTTTGGCAGTTACCTGTAGTTAGCTAGTTAGCTAGATAAGGTTAGCATGCTAGCTAGCTACAGTGACAACTGTCAGTGCCCTAGTATTGTTTCTCCACTACACGTGGAAATCACCACAACGTTTCCATCCTCAATTTGTGAATATGTATTAGGAGCCATACGTCATTCTTCGGAGGTGGAACCTAAATTAGCATTTCCTCTCTAGGACAGGAATTACGTCGAAATAGGGGCGGCAACTTCCTCTCGAGGGTGCCTTTAAAAAACTATACAGAGCTCATAGGAAGTTATCGGGGTGGTAGAGTAATTAATTAGTGATATCCTTTGTTTTGGGATGATATCCTTTGGCTCAGGC